GGCCCGTCACCCCTCATGTACTCATTCTTTCTCTCTCTCATTTATTTGTTTTATCTCATTTACTTACTCCTGACCCTACATTAAGACTACAAATATTTTAAGGTAAGTAATGAGTGAACTGTATATACATTTTATCGCTCTGGGATGCTTAAATATCATAGAATTTTATGTGTGGGTGGGGTGGCCTGGGGAGGTACCTGGCTATTAAAAAACAAAACCACCTTGATTTCTTAAAATAAAAATACTTTTCACCCAAAATTAAGACTAAAAATTTTTTAAAGGAAGTAATGAGTGCACTATTTTGTGTATTGTACTTTTTTTTTTGTTTTTTGTTTCCGGGTTTTCTATTGAAACTTAAAATAGTTAGTGTAAATTTGGGTTACTGGGTTTTTGTATGCTTTTAAAAAGGGGGAAAAAAAGGGTGTTTCCATTTTAAAGGGGGGTTTTTCCGTTTTTAGGCGGTACCCCTGGAACCTCCCCGCCGTATAAGGGGGGCCTTCCTGTACCCCCCTCCCCTTTAAACTAACCCCCTTTCCTGTTTTTAAATAAAAACCCATACTTTCCCTAGGTTTTCTTAACTTGTTTAATCCTCCAAAATTTTTTTTTATTTTAAAAAAAAATTTTTTTTCTTGACAGTGCCCCCTCCCACTCTTTCATCTTCTTCCTTTTGCACTCTTCACCACCTCTTCCCCTTTTCCCTTTTATTCCCCAATACTCTGCTTTTTTAAACACTTCTGTTTGGGAAAAAACCCTCTCGAAGCTACCTTTTTCTTTTTATCACACCCTTTCTTATCATTCCCCCTTTCACCCCTCTTTCCCCCTGCCCCCCCCTTATGACCAAAAACTTCTCCCCCACTTTTTATACTGATTTTTAAAAAATTCCCCCCTCTTAAACCCCCCCCCCAATACTCATCTTTGCACTAGCCCCCCTTTTTCCCAATATGCTTATTTTCTCGCCGAACTTCCCCCCTCCTTATTTTTTTGCATTTAACCCCCCTTTATTTGTTGTTGCCCCCTTCCCTCTTCCCCCACTACCCTTATCTAATGTAGCTACAACTAAAAAAATGATCCGTATATCAGTTCCCCCTCTAAACATGTACACCCGGGACCTCCCCATAAACCCTTTTTATCCCCCAAAATACATAATTAACAAAAACTATTTCTTACGGTTTAAAATCATACTTGTTTTTTATTTTCCCTTTTTATAAAATATGTTTACTTATTAAAAATTTTTTTTCTACAAAAACAGCTCAATTAAAGGCCCCCCAATTTCATTTCCCCCCTAAGGCCCCCCAAAATTTTTTCCCTTACCCCCTAAAATAACTTTTTCCCCATTTAGCATTGAAATCCTAAAACCCCATTGCTCTCCCCTTTTGATTCAAAAACCCCACGCATTCACTCAAAAATTTCCCGGAACTCTCTCCTCCTTTTACACTTCTCTCTTCCCCGGGGTGCATCCCCTGCACTAAAACCCCCACTTTTCACACCCAAATCTTTATTTTACCCCACAAAAATCCTTAAATTTTTTTACATTTGTAGTCCCTTTTTTTCCTCCCCTAGCTTATCCTTAACATTATTGCTACTCCTTCTTTAGCTCTAACTCTATTTAAAAACCCCCTGACCTAACCCCTTTTAAATTCCTTCCATTGAAAATCTCCCACCCCCCTTTAGCCTTTTTTTCACTTTAAAACCGGAAACATCCCGTTTCTTTTTTTCATTTCATCCACAATCATCTCTTTTTTTTCATTTGCACAACTCCCCGCAATTCAAATTCCCACTTTGACAATTTTTTTCTTTTTTATTCTTTTTAGTAACTTTACAGGGAAAAAGGGGTTTTTAGGCCCCTTGTTTTTCCCCGGGGTTTTTTGTTTACTTTTAAACACGCTGGCTTAAGGAGGAAAGATTTTATTCCCCTTCCCCATTGGGTATATATTATATATCATATATATAAATATATATATAAAATTATATTATAAAATATATATATTTTATATATATAATTTTATTTATATATATATTTATATATATATATATAAATACATTTAAAACAAAACCCTAACATTCAAAACACCACACAAACACCAAAACCCACACACCCCACACACACACACACCCAACACACCCCAAAAACACACACATACCCCAAAACCCCACCCCAAAACACACAAACATACCCACACATAAAACACACATATAAAAAACACATATAACACACATACACACACACACACACACACACATCATACACACATAAAAAAAAAACACAACATACACACAAAAACCCCCACACATACACACACACATACACACATACAACACACACATACACACACAACACCCACAACCCCACACACACACACACACATGTTACGCATGTTAACCCCCGTTAGTTTGGGTTTTTCCCCAATTTCTTTGATATAAGGGTTTTTTCATACATGTTTTTAGTGTTGGGGGGGAGCTTTTACTTAAAGGTCTTATTTGTTAGGGGTAATAATTACTCATGGGTGTCATCCTTAGTGTCTTTGTTTCCCCTTTAAACCCGCCCCTTTTCACAGGTTAGTAAAAATATACTATAAAAAAATAACTGTATTCTAAATAGATATGTAAAAGAAATACAATTACAGCCTCACAATTTTTAAAAAAACGTCTACACACTGATAGCTGTTCTCCCCCAGGGTATTTCTCAACAACTTTTTGTCCTTTCTCCTTGGGCTAATTTTGGGTTTAAACCCGTGTTTTTTTTCCCTTTTTGTCCCCTGGGTTTTGGGGGTCACAACTTAAATTTTAAAAACTCACCCCTGGGGGCAACATATGAAAATGGGGGCAGCAGTTTAAAACAAAAGGGGAGAGGGGTGGGTTGGGTTGATTTTCTTTTGGGCTGCAAAAAAGGCCCTTTGACACAGTTCCAACAAGAGATTGGTGCAAAAAATTTGGGGGGCCAAGCAGGGGGTAAAGGGAAGGATACAATGGGTCAGGGGAAACTTGTCGGGAAAACAGCAGGGAGTCATGGTACGTGGCGAAGGGTGTCAGAAATGGGCACCCGTGACCAGCGGGGTTTCCCCCCGGGGTCCCGTCCCAGGACCGTGCTGTTTTTTGGGATTTTGGGGAAAGAATGACGGAAGGAATTTGACTCTGAGGTGTCCCCCGTTTTTTAGATGACGTGAAGGGTTTATGGAAAAAATTTCACTCGATCGAAGACCCGGCAGAATACAAAAGGGGGTTTGGCAGGTGCAGAACGGTCCAGCAATTTTGGGTCCTGGGGTTTTAAAACCCACCAAGGCAAAGTCATGAAGATTGGGAAGGGCAAAAAAAGGCCCCCAGAAGGGGGTACAGTCAGGGGGGGGGAGAGACTAAAAAAACATCACTCAAAAGGAAAAAAGGGTTTGGGGGGGGTATAACACCCCAAAATCTCCCGAAGCGAAAATAACCCAAAAAACGCTGCAGATAGGGGCCCAAACAAACCCCGAAAAGATTCCGACATTAATAAGGAATCGTTTAGGACCCCGTAAAACCGTTATAAGTTGGCCCCTATTGGAGTAGCGGGACCATTTTGGGAACCCCCACCCCAGCCCCAAACACGTTAAAAAAAAAAATAGAGGGAAAATTGGGAAAGGTTTGGGAACAAGACTAGTCCCAGAGGGAAAAAGGTATGTCCCTAGAGGAGAGGTTAAGGGAAAAAAACCTTTACGGGCAGGGGGGACAGGAGAGTAGGGGGGACATGTAACGACATTCAAAAATACTGAGAGGAATTGACAAGGTGGGCAAAAACAGGAATTTTTTCCCGAGATTGGACACAAATAACAAGGGGGCACAGTTGGAAGCTTTTTGACAAGTGAATTTACAGGGAAGTTTTGGGGAATTTTTTCTTCAGCCCCGAGTAGTCGTAAGTGGAAAAAGTTTGGGAAGCGATGTTAAATGGGGGCAGGATCCATACATAGTTTAAGCAGGGTTTCGATAAAGCTCACGGCTCAGGGAGGTGACCCAGTAGCGTTTAAGGGAAAAGGCGGGGCCCCGGGCTCGGGCTGACCCCCGCCCAAACCCCAACAAAGGGGAGTTTCAACTGGTGAGTACACACACAAAACCCCACAACCCCACACCACAACACACACACCACACAGACTGGGCCCCCCTGGATTTTTTTTTTATTTTTTACTAGTTTTTGTTTTCTTTTTTTCTCCTGGGGGAAATTTGGAAAAAAATTCTTCCCTTTTTAACCTTTCGTGTCGTAAGGGGGCAACTAAAATGCCAAGAGCATGGGGCTAGTAACCGTATCCTGATACATTTTTCAAGTTGAAAAAAGGGAAAATTTTTGATTTTCTTTTTTGGGGGCCCCCCTGCTTGGGTTATGGCCCGTTTGTTGAAAAAAAAAGAAAAATAATGTTTAAAGGGAAAATTTTGTTTTTGGGGGGGCAGTATTTTTTTTATAATGGGTTTGGGGAACTTTTTTGGAAAAGGTTGCTTGGGGAACTTGTGATGAGGATTAGTGTGAGTGCTCACCTTTGATGGGGAAAAATTTATGTTATAAAGTTTTAGTATTTGTATTGTTGTATTTCAATAGAATTATTATAGTATTGGTCCCGTCCCTTTTTTTTCTTTTAAGTGTTAATTTTTTTATTTTTTTTTTTCAAAATTTTACCCCTTTGAACCCTACATACTGTATGTTTTCAGTATTGCCCCAAACGTATATGGCTAATCATGTGTTTTAAAAGGTTCCATAATTATTTTGTGAATTGATTTGTGATGTTACATTATAATAAGTGCATCCAGTAATTTTTAATTACAGTTGTCAGGGACCATATTGGGGCCCCTTTATTTTTTTTTATCCCCTGAATTTTCTCAAACAGATGGGTGTGCCCGTAGGGAAAGCCACAGTCATCCCGGGAACGGCCTTTAGGGCCGCCCCCAAAATGTTTCGATTTTTTTAGAGCCGGCCGGGAAAGCACTTTCCCCCCAAAGGCATTTTTCTTCCCAAAGGCCCCAAAGGGCCCCTCTTGGCTCAGGCTCTCTCTGGGGGGCCCCTTTTCCTCACCTTACCAACAATCCCGGGTTTATAATCCCCCCAAAATCATGGGATGTCCAACATAGTCCTCATACTCACCAGGTTAGGTTCAATCTTAAAACTTCCTTCCCACCAGGTTTGAAGGATAAATACTTGTTTACTATTCTTTTTTCATTGATGCATTTAATATTTTTGTACCAGCATAGCAGCCATTCAGCACATTAAGACAGCTTGCTTGATAAGCTCTGTTAACCATAGATGGCCAGTTTAATAGATAGTTACAGGCTCGTATTGATCATCTGTTAACTTGTGCAATGTCTCGTCTGAAGGTGATGAGCTAATTAGGCACACGGCATGTGGAAAAGAAGAACATAAGAACAGTGAAGCAGTGCAATAGCTCTATTGGCAATTACTAGGCAGGTCCAACAGCATGTCATATCACTAAAAACCCATGTACCTGACATACATTTTTTTTTTTTTACATGCTGGTTGTCTCCTACTGAGGCAGGGTGACCTGAAAAAGAAACACTTTCACCATCATTCACACTATCACTGTCTTGCCAGAGGCATGCAGATACGACAGTTTAGATGTCACTCTAAACAGCAAATATCCCAAACCCCTCCTTTAGAGTGCAGGCTCTGTACTTTCCACCTCCAGGACTCAAGTCCAGCTAACTGGTTTCTCTGAATTCCTTCACCTGTATGTATAATATTTGTAAAGTATTATTTGTGCATTTTACAAGCTGACTATCAATTTTTCTTATGTGTTCAGGAAGGAGTGAATCATGTAGTTGGAGCAACTACATCAAATGGAACATCAAATGGCACCCTCTTGCAACTTTCACATGTAGGTGAGACTTGGCACACTGGTGGAGCACCGACTCTACCATCTACTGGGTCTGTTGACAGAGAATGTAGTACAAGTGTTGAAGAAGAGAAAAGGGTATTGGAAGAGACGTCATCAGGCAGAGGGAGCAATGGAGCACCAACAGGTTCAGGAGAAAGAGGAGGAGTGGAGGGGGATAGTGGAGGGACAAGCACCTCATCTAGTATGCACACAGAAGAGGAGGATGTGGCTACTTTCCTGGCCACACGGGGCAAGTCGGGCACACCACCACATATACCGTAAGTGTCACATCCCAGTTAATTTGGGGTTTGGCCTGTGTGGCGGGGACTGTTTGTTTTCTACAGTAAAAGTAATTTTATTTTATTGTAAGCCTACGATGTTTCTTTTTTTTTTTTCCCTAAAGTTGTCTTTTAAAACTTTGCCTTTTGACGCTTAACTTCCCTGTAGAGCTTAATTGCCTGTAGATGTTAACTTGGCTGTAGAAGTTAATTTGCCTGTAGAGTTTAAAACTTGCCGTAGAGCTTGACTTGCCTGTGACGTTTAAAACTTCCCTTAACTTTTTTTTTGGCATTGTGCCCTGTTTGGATTTTAGAAAATTTCTTTTCGCAAAAGTACCTTGTAATACAGTATTTGAATTGTTTTAAACCTTTTTCAGAGTCCAGACCCTGTCGAAACTTGTCCATGGGCCCCAAAAATTTTCAAAAAAAAAATGTTATTTTTTTATGAAAAGTAGATAATCTTTTTTTGAAGGGAATAAAACAAACGCACAAAATTTGATGGAAAACTGACGAAATTATGCAAAAGCAATTTTGCCCGCGTTAGAAACATTTATGATCAGTGATTTTCCCATTTGACTCCTATTTTTTGGCCCAAAATTTCATTGATCCAGTCTACCAAATGTTTACCTATTGCTAGCTGCCCCCCCATATTATACTGAGCACAAGAAACCGCCTAATCAACTATTTCAACTACCCAGTAAAGGGATCAGAAATTGATTATTTGGCCAGTTTCACACAAATTTCAAAATATTCCAGTTTCAAAATAAGATTCAGAATAAACAATGCAAGAATTCCTGGCACTAAAATAATATTTCCTCTGTTTATTAGTTATGTGTCCATGCTTTACATGTGAATTCCAGTTTAATTTTTTATTCACACCAAAAAATAAGAATATTTACTGTTATGCAGCATTGTAATAATTGTATAAATAATATCAGTGCGTATGTGGATGCATATTTGACCCGCAAGTTGATGTGTGTTGGACGTGTGATGTGGTTTATTTACTCTTGAACATCAGCAAAAATTGAACAGTTCCACTACTTTGAGCTCAGTTTCAAGCTATTTTCAGTCCGAAAACCAATCAAAATAATCTCTATTTCTGTAATATATCTTTCATTCTATTAATGAGACCAAGAAACTCTGAATACAACCATAAAAACCATATGAAAATACACTGCAAAGTTGCTGTTTTGATCCAAAAACACGGTCGCAGTTTTTTTTTCATTATGCACTGTGTGCTGCAGGACCATTTTTATATAGTGCACACTTACCACATAGATGCATTCTCTCATATCTAGGCCTAAATTTACCTCTCACAGCATATTACTACGGCACTGACCCTGGCTTCAAAGCCGCAGAACTATGGCATGGACCCAAGTTGGGTATGAAAGACTCATTGTGACCACTGTAATTTTTTTTTTAAACTGCCTTTCAGAGGATGAGAATAGAGTGCATTAGCTACTCAGGTGGCACAAACACAGAGGAACCTTGACTTACGAGTGTCCCAACGTACGAGTTTTTTGAGATATGAGCCGTCGCTCGGTTGATTTTTTGCTCTGAGTTACAAGCCAGCTCCCCCCTCTTCCTCCTCAACCCAAAACCTGCTCACCTCGCTTGTTTATCTATGATTTCATGCTTTAATTCAATGGAAATCATCATCTTTTTCTTCTCAGCACTGTCCTTTACATTTACTTTCTTAGGACCCATGCGTAGAAAAACGAAATATGGCCAAATGACTGTAAAAAATGTAAGCAAAGCATGAGAGAAATACTCCTACACCAAGGTAAACAGTGCACTGAGTTGGTGGCATTCTGAAGCTCTCATTATTATTATTATTATTATTATTATTATTATATGTTTTTTTAACAAGTCGGCCGTCTCCCACCGAGGCAGGGTGACCCAAAAAAGAAAGAAAATCCCCAAAAAGAAAATACTTTCATCATCATTCAACACTTTCACCACACTCGCACATTATCACTGTTTTTGCAGAGGTGCTCAGAATACAACAGTTTAGAAGCATACACATATAAAGATACACAACATATCCCTCCAAACTACCAATATCCCAAAACCCTCCTTTAAAGTGCAGGCATTGTACTTCCCATTTCCAGGACTCAAGTCCGACTATATGAAAATAACCGGTTTCCCTGAATCCCTTCACTAAATATTACCCTGCTCACACTCCAACAGATCGTCAGGTCCCAAGTACCATTCGTCTCCATTCACTCCTATCTAACACGCTCATGCACGCTTGCTGGAAGTCCAAGCCCCTTGCCCACAAAACCTCCTTTACCCCCTCTCTCCAACCCTTTCGAGGACGACCCCTACCCCGCCTTCCTTCCCTTATAGATTTATATGCTTTCCATGTCATTCTACTTTGATCCATTCTCTCTAAATGACCAAACCACCTCAACAACCCCTCTTCTGCCCTCTGACTAATACTTTTATTAACTCCACACCTTTTCCTAATTTCCACACTCCGAATTTTCTGCATAATATTTACACCACACATTGCCCTTAAACAGGACATCTCCACTGCCTCCAACCGTGTCCTCGCTGCTGCATTTACAACCCAAGCTTCACACCCATATAAGAGTGTTGGTACTACTTTTACTTTCATACATTCCCTTCTTTGCCTCCATAGATAACGTTTTTTGACTCCACATATACCTCAACGCACCACTCACCTTTTTTCCCTCATCAATTCTATGATTAACCTCATCCTTCATAAATCCATCCGCCGACACTTCAACTCCCAAGTATCTGAAAACATTCACTTCTTCCATACTCCTCCTCCCCAATTTGATATCCAATTTTTCTTTATCTAAATCATTTGACACCCTCATCACCTTACTCTTTCTATGTTCACTTTCAACTTTCTACCTATACACACATTCCCAAACTCATCCACTAACCTTTGCAATTTTTCTTTAGAATCTCCCATAAGCACAGTATCATCAGCAAAAAGTAACTGTGTCAATTCCCATTTTGAATTTGATTCCCCAAAATTTAATCCCACCCCTCTCCCGAACACCCTAGCATTTACTTCCTTTACAACCCCATCTATAAATATATATTAAACAACCATGGTGACATTACACATCCCTGTCTAAGACCTACTTTTACCGGGAAGTAGTCTCCCTCTCTTCTACACACCCTAACCTGAGCCTCACTATCCCCATAAAAACTCTTTACAGCATTTAATAACTTACCACCTATTCCATATACTTGCAACATCTGCCACATTGCTCCTCTATCCACTCTATCATATGTCTTTTCTAAATCCATAAATGCAATAAAAACTTCCCTACCTTTATCTAAATAACTGTTCACATATATGCTTCAATGTAAACACTTGATCTACACATCCCCTACCCACTCTGAAACTCCTTGCTCATCCGCAATCCTACATTCTGTCTTACCTCTAATTCTTTCAATTATAACCCTACCATACACTTTTCCTGGTATACTCAGTAAACTTATTCCTCTATAATTTTTACAGTCTCTTTTGTCCCTTTCCCTTTATATAAAGGGACTATACATGCTCTCTGCCAATCCCTAGGTACCTTCCCCTCTTTCATACATTATTAAACAAAAGTACCAACCACTCCAACACTATATCCCCCCCTGCTTTTAACATTTCTGTGATGATCCCATCAGTTCCAGCTGCTTTACCCCCTTTCATTTTACGTAATGCCTCACGTACCTCCCCCACACTTACATTCTGCTCTTCTTCACTCCTAAAAGATGGTATACCTCCCTGACCAGTGCATGAAATCACTGCCTCTGTTTCTTCCTTAACATTTAAAAGTTCCTCAAAATATTCTCGCCATCTACCTAATACCTCCATCTCCCCATCTACTAATAATAATAATAATAATAATAATGAGTGAGCTTCAGTTCCCTAAATTAATTTATTATTTTTTTTATTATCACACTGGCCGATTCCCACCAAGGCAGGGTGGCCCGAAAAAGAAAAACTTTCACCATCATTCACTCCATCACTGTCTTGCCAGAAGGGTGCTTTACACTACAGTTTTTAAACTGCAACATTAACACCCCTCCTTCAGAGTGCAGGCACTGTACTTCCCATCTCCAGGACTCAAGTCCGGCCTGCCGGTTTCCCTGAATCCCTTCATAAATGTTACTTTGCTCACACTCCAACAGCACGTCAAGTATTAAAAACCATTTGTCTCCATTCACTCCTATCAAACACGCTCATGCATGCCTGCTGGAAGTCCAAGCCCCTCACACACAAAACCTCCTTTACCACCTCCCTCCAACCTTTCCTAGGCCGACCCCTACCCCGCCTTCCTTCCACTACAGACTGATACACTCTTGAAGTCATTCTGTTTCGCTCCATTCTCTCTACATGTCCGAACCACCTCAACAACCCTTCCTCAGCCCTCTGGACAACAGTTTTGGTAATCCCGCACCTCCTAAATTAATAAATAATAATAATAATACATACATACGTAATACGTAATAATAATTTAGACTGCTGCCACTAGTTGGCACAGCCGATGGCAAAGCATCCGGTAAGGAGTCCACATGTTTACATTGTGTGGGAGCATTTCTCTCGTGCTTGCTTGCAATTTTTTTTACATTCTTCTTTCTTCTTTCAACAAACCGGCCATTTCCCACTGAGGCAGGGTGGCCCAAAAAGAAAAACAGAAGTTTCTCTTTTTAAATTTAGTAATTCATACAGGAGAAGGGGTTACTAGCCCCTTGCTCCTGGCATTTTAGTTGCCTCTTACAACACGCATGGCTTACGGAGGAAGAATTCTGTTCCACTTCCCCATGGAGATAAGAGGAAATAAACAAGAACAAGAACTAGAAAGAAAATAGCAGAAAACCCAGAGGGGTGTGTGTATATAGTATATACATGTATATGCTTGTACATGTATGCGTAGTGTGACCTAAGTGTAAGTAGAAGTAGCAAGACGCACCTGAAATCTTGCATGTTTATGAGACAGACGTACCTGAAATCTTGCATGTTTGAGACAGAAAAAAGGACACCAGCAATCCTACCATCATGTAAAACAATTACAGGCTTTCGTTTTACACTCACTTGGCAGGACGGTAGTACCTCTCTGGGCGGTTGCTGTCTACCAACCTACTACCTAGGTTTTTTTACATTCATTTGGCCAAATTTCTTTTGTCTAACCATGGGCCCTAAGAAAATATGTGCGAAGGACAGTGCTGAGAAGAAAGAGAGGATGATTTCCATGGGATTAAAGCAAATTGTATCAGTTAAGTTCAGCAAACAAACAACACAAATTGTGTCATCAATCGTCATATTATGCCTATTTTATTCATTCTAGAGGATATATCATGTTTCTCTGTTAATTATATTGTTTATTATGTCATATTAACCCTTAAACGGTCCAAACATATATATATATGTTCTCTTGTGTAGCGCCCCGAATTTTTGAGAATTTTTTTTAATAGGAAAAAAGAGCATATGGTACCCATGCATCCCCAATATTTTTCATATGGTGGACAATGGGTGCGCACACCCATTCTCTCATGTCTTGGCGACTCAGGCTTATCATGCCATTGTTGAATGAATGACAAAGGAAACGTATATAAACGTTTAAGGCGCTACACGATAGAATGTATATATCCGTTTGGACCGTTTAAGGGTTAAATGAATTGTGATAGATTAATAAGCCGTAGAGTTGTTATACTGAATTATTTTGTCCTGCTGCTGGGACGGATTGATGGCATTTCAGTTAATTTAAATAAGGAAAATTGATCTTATATACGAGCAAATTGAGTTACGAGCTAGGTCACGGAACGGATTAGACTTGTAAGTCAAGGTTCCACTGTATGTATTCAAGAAATATCAAAATGTATGGAATGTATAAATGACATGTAGATGCAACATTGCACCCACATAGTGAATTTTTATCATTGGTAAAGAGTACAAAAGAACCAGGGTAGCTTAATGTTAGCTAAACCTTTAAAGTGCTCTATCTGGGGTTGTAGTTATTGTTAATAAAGTTACCCACTGCATTTAAGTGTCAGTTACTCCAGAACCTTGTTAGTATATACTATTCCAGTTCCAAATATCAAATGTGTGTTGCTCACACACTTTTATAGCACAAGAAGGCTTTCTCTCTTCTTATAAAAACATTAATTGGGATCTTTCTTGGTTTTGTGCTTAACTGACACATTTAGTAGTGGAGAGCTATTTGAGATTCTTTTTTAGGTTACCACAATGAATTTCTCGTTGCACAAATTTTTTGCTCTCGCCTCACTCGTTTTAATCATGCAGTCTGCTGCTTCACTGAGACCAAAAGCTCACACCTCCATCACATAGGTACCATTTTTTAACACCCAGATTTTCTTGCTTATTCCTTTTCTTGGCACCTCCAGCATCACTAATAATCCTCTTGGGTGCTTTAGTTAATGGCCAGATGAGATGGAATGATGGAAAAATTTAAAATTGAGTAAACATACAACTGAGTGAAGTATGGAAAGCATACACAGTAAACTTGTGGCATGAGAGGATGTTTGCATCAAGAGTCAGACTAGGCCTACCCCATAAAAATGATGGCTAACTGCAGTGCAGAGGGATATGAACTTGCAGTGTGGCATATTTTCCTCTTGAATTTGTGGCATACTATATGGTGTTCCTTTCTTGCAGTTCAAAACTGGAGAGCAGTACTTCGATCATGTTATATTAATAATGTGTTGGTTGGATGTGTGTTGTTCAGGACTACTGTACAGATGTTCCTTGGTTTACAATGGTTAAACTTATGATATTTTGACTTTACAGTGGTTCGTTAGTGATGCATATTCAGTACGGTACAGTAATGTATATTTATTGATAGGATAAACTTGTATTGATTTACTTTCAATACTGGTATTTAGTTATAACAATTATTTGTTTTATTGGCTTATTCAGTGACAGTAGTTATTTATCACATTGTATATTCACATTCAACTTATGTTGTTTTCAGCTTACAATGGGTTCATCGGAACATTACCCCCCATCGTAAGTGGAGGAGCACCATATTGAATCTGCTTCAGTGTAATGTTTGTCACTAAATTCATTATTTAATCAGTCCATTTCTAGTGTTTAAATAGCTCATTACGACTGTAAGTTGCTTAGCTAACAGAATACAGTGTTGGAGTCCAGTCTGTGGATCTTATGTCTACTGTCTATAGGCTGGGTATGGGAGTGCAAAATAAAGGTATTAAACTATCTAAATACAGACTCTCCTCACTTAGCAATGTACTCGTTTACTGGCAACTCTGACTTATGATGGGCTGTCTGACCAGTATGTGTACCTAAGCAATGTATATTAGAGCTGATTTAGTCTATTTTGTATATTACAGTATACAGTACACTTCTGAATAAACATTTAAAAATATACCAGAAATGTTATAAATGGTGCAACGGTGACATTAAAACATTATCAAAGATAGTTGGCACAAACCCATTACCATTATAGTATGCTCCTCACTTAGCAACGAATTTGTTTACCGACGCGTTCTTAGGAACGGAACTCCATCGTTAAGCGAGGAGAGGCTGTACTCTATTTGCTGTATTTGCATTTTCCTTCCATTATATTTTCTTTCATACTCTTACAGCAGTTGCAAGTGAACAACTTATTTCAAGTGTTGTGAGTGGAGTCCATAGCAGTGAAGGACAGTTACATTACACTTCTGCACCTACCCAGCATCACCAGCAGCAGCAGCAAGCTCAACTTAACATGCATCATCAACATCAGGCAAGTTATATGTAGTGTTGTAACTTTTAAAAATAGTGGAAAAAGTAGCCAAAAAAAAATTGCAGATGAAATCTAGAAATTATTGCAGGCCATCTTAGACCACATGCAGTACTACTTAATTCAGAATGCAAATGCTGTAGTTATTTATAAAAAAATTGAGATAGTATGGGATACTTTTTAACTTGAAGTTTGTCTCCCACTGAGGTAGGGTAACCTAGCAAATGAAAACTCTTTCATCATTTAATCGCTGTTTTGTCAGAAGTATGCTGATATTACAGTTCAGATGAACTGCCTAACTGCAACATCCCCACCCCTTCTTCAGAGTGCAGGCACTGTACTTTCCCCACCTCCAGAACTCAAGTCTGGGTAACTAGTTTCCTTTGAATCCCTTCATAAATGTTACCTTGTTCACACTCCAATACAATGTCAAATCATAAAAACCACTTGTCTCCACTCACTCCTATCTTAACCTGCTCATATGAGCCTATTGGATGTTCAAACTCCAAATATAGGATAATGTGAGTGTAACTTACATAGTATGTACATACTATAATATTTTACAGATCCTATGTTGTGTTTAGTATTTCAGGTAAACTTAACCTAACACACAAATAGTAAATCCTTGATTTAATAGACTAATAGGGAGGAGTGAGTGGCTAGTAATAGTGACTGTGATGGAGAGAGATTAGATTGTTTTCTTGTTATCATAATAATGGACAAGTTTGTAACCATGTTGATTGACCTAGTGGATTTTGCCCCATATTTATGGTCTGTTAAATCGAGAATTTGCTGTAGACAAATCAGTAGCTAGGTTTCGTTTTCAATTTGTAGGTTAATTTTGAATAGTTGCAGCAACAGTATTGTGATTTCTTTTTACATGTACTATATTTTCGTATCACTGATTTGTTTCATTAAGGTATCCTTATGTGGGTAGGGCTGGTTTTAGGGTTTGCAGAGCCCTTGGACAGGTTACATTAGTGGTCCCCTTATTAGTGAAATTCTTGAAAATCGTAAGTAAGCTGGAAGATTTATTATCATTTACTAATAAATATGAAACTTGATCCAGTACAGAAAATACTATACAATAATACAAATTAATTATAGATTATGTACCTGTCTTTCATGCTTTATCTTGTTTCACGCAGTTTATTGATTTCTATTATAATAAAATAAAAATACTATAATCAGGATATTAATATTTTATTCATGTAGACACTCAGTTAATAGTGCAAAGAGTGTAACTATTTTCATGGTTATAGATAGTAACCCTGTTACCTGGAAGTGTTGTTATGGCTCAGGATTATATTTGAAATATCTATTTTCTTACTTTATTAATGAAATTCATATTTAAATGTCCACTGAAATGTTTTGATAGTGACTTAACAATAAAACTTCTAATGAAATTTGTTTTTTAACTATTATTTACAATATCTTTACGATTTCTAAATATGAGTTCGATAGGTATTCCCATGTTAAATTTTGCATCTTTTTAAACATACTGGCCATCTCCTACCTTCTTTTTTTTTCTCAACAAACTGGCCATATCCCACTGAGGCAGGGTGAACTAAAAAGAAAAATGAAAGTTTTTCTTTCTAAATTTAGTAATTTATACAGGAGAAGAGATTACTAGCCCTTTGCTCCTGCCTTTTTAGTTTTAGTTAAGAGCTTATGGAAGCTCTATTTTTTGTATGCATGTGTAATGGGAGATTATTGACAATGCAGGGGCAGTGTATCACTGGAGAAATTCCCAGGAATTTCCAAAATTTTGGTGTTAGGTGGTTTGCATAAATTATATTTCTAAACAAAGTGGGTACAGGAGGGCCCCACGTATACAACATGTTAGTTTCTGGGCTACTGCTGTAAAGCGAAAATCTCTGTACAGCGAATCATACCCTTTTTTTTCCACTTTCAAATGCATATAAAAGCCTGATAACATGTTTACACTATTATATATTAAGTGAGCAAAAGAGCTAGGCCTAAAAAATGCACATACAATAACATTACTTACCTTAACCCTTTGACTGTCGCAGGCCCGTTTCTGAAACTGTCATTCTATGTTGATAAATTTTTGGAAAAAAATAAATTATTTTTTCCTTTGAAATGATAGAGAATCTTTTCCCAATGGCAATTACACCAAAAGTACGAAATTTGGTCGAAAATTCACGGAATTACGCTTCCGCAAAGTTAGCAGTCTAGGTGACATATACGCATCGGCGATTTTGCCGAGTTTGAGCCCTGTTTTTGGCCAATTCCGTTGTTCCACTTGGCCAAACTCATAGCTATTTCTTTAGAACTCCATTTTTTCTATCTGTTGAGTACAAGAAACTGCCCATTTACCGATCTGAGCTACCCAATAAAGTGGTCAGACATTGGCAATTTGGCCAATTTCATGCAAATTAAAAAAGATGACAATTTCAAAATATGGTCCAGAATAAACAATGTAGACATTCTTGGCACTAAAATAACATATCCTCTGTTCATTATTCACATCTCTAGGCCCCTCTCATGTTACTATTGCTTTCTATTTTGATTTTTTATTCATACAAAAAAATACAAAATTTACTGTTATGCAGACTACTGCATTATTGTAAAAATGGTATAAATAATATCAGTGCACTAGTGAAAGAATATTAGACTCCCCAGTTGACGTGTATTGGACATGTGGTGTGGTTTGCTTACTCCTGAACATTGGTAAAAATCGAACATTTCCGCTACTTTGAGCTCAATTTCAAGGTCGTTTTCATCATGAAAGTAATCAAAATCATCTCTATTTCTGTAATATGTTTTCCATTTTATCGCCTGAGACCATGAAAACGAGAATACAACAATAAATACTACATGAAAATACACCTCAAAGTTGGCGTTTTAATCCCAAAAAACGGTCAGTTTTTTTTTTCTCATTACGCACTGCGTGCTGCAGGATTTTTTAATGTGGTGCACACTGACCACACAGACATTCTCTCACCTGTGGGTCTACCAGCTTTCTCCCGCTTGATTTGAAGCCGCTAGAATTTATGCGTATAAATACGTCAGAAACAGTGGTGCGTAAGACGTATATATACGGCCAAAACAGTCAAAGGGTTAAAATATTTTTGTCCTTAAATTCAATTCAATTCAATTCAATTCAAAGTTTATTCTCTATAAGGATTACAATGCTGAGTTTACAGAATTTGGTTATTGTGTGGTTTACATGTAGTAAAATAATAATTACAGAGTGTACCACTAGAACACCTAGCATGGCTAGGCATTTCGGGCAGACTTAGATTAAATCTTAAGTTTAAAATATTACAAAATTATGAGGTAAGTTGGTATTATGGCTAAGTGACTAAATACTAGTTTGTGAGTTTAGCAATGTGAATGCTTTTGTTTTGGCACTATACATAGTTTCAGTATTGGAGTATCACAGGCCAACTTATGACTAGTTAAGATTCATTATTTTGAGATTGAGATTGATATTTCTGTTTATGGTCAAATGGGTGAGTGAGTGTAAGTGTTAACCACCAGGTGGTATTCGTGTAATTAGTTGACAGGGTGTATCAGGGAGATAAGATGTTTTCTGATGGTAGTTTTGAAGGTGATGAATGTGTCTGCAGTTTTAGAATTTTCAGGTAGGGTGTTCCAGATTTAGGGCCTTTGACATGCATTGAATTTTTGTAAAGGTTTAGTCGGACACGGGGAATGTCATAGAGATGTTTGTGTCTGGTGTTGTGCCTGTGGATTCTGTCACAACTATCAAGAAAGCATTTTAGGTCAAGGTTAATATTGGAATTTAAGGTCCTGTAGATGTAGATTGCACAGTAGTAAGTGTGGATGTACTGAACAGGGAGTAAGTTTAGATCTATGAAGAGTGGGGGGGTGAGTCGTGAATATATTTATTGTAAGAAGCCTGAATACTAAATGAAAAATGGGTATAATTGAAAACCACTGTATTAGTGAAACTGTAAAGTGGGGGGAAGGGGCCCTCCTGTATGCAGTATATGAATATATCCCACTTAATGAAATTACATTTCTATCTTATAATTCAGAAAGTTCTATATAACAGGTCGATTCATATGGAAGTGGAATTCGGTCAACAGGATCTGGACGCAGACAGATAAAAGGAATAATAACAGAAGAGTCTTCTCTCTCTCCACTGCCAGTTGAGAGTAAAGCTGACATTCTCAGTGCTTGTGCAAAAGAGGTGAGTTACAGTTTTAAGAGAAGTTCACCATTTCATATTTCCCACAGAATGTTCTTTTGCTACTAAATCATTTGTTTCAACAAATACTACTTCTTTGACTTTACAGATAGTCTACTTTTCTTTTTGTTGGTGAAATGTGTTGTATATTGTTAATACAGGAAAGTTTTCAGAACTTTCTCTGTGCAAATTAGTGTAAGAGGACAGCTATTGTACAGTGGTACCCCTAGTTTTATACATAATTTGTTCCAGAAGGCTGTTTGAGTGCCGTTACCAAATGAATTTGGTCCCATAAGAAATAATGTAAATTAGATTAGTCTGCTTCAGACCCCCAAAAATACACTTACAAAAGCAATTAGAATAATACACTTACATAATTGTTCGAGTTAGGAGCTGTACAAAACTTAGGGTACCACTGTATTTGATTTTAAGTAAAATTTAGAACATTCAAGAATCAAGAATCCAGTGAATCATTTCGATTAGTTACAGATGTCATAAATAATGAGGCTTTCTACTGAATAGGTAATGAGCATTATGATTGAGATAAGATGTGTGGTTCATTTTTTTTTATACCTTCCCACTGTGCAGCTATACTGATTATGCCTTATAGGGAGACAAAGTTTGGGATTATTATTGGTCAATGTAACCACTTCTTTTGCTAATTTTAAAATAACCTTTTGTGAGTATCTGTTTTGAGATTCATGAAAAATGCTCATCTCTGCAACCAGGCAAGGTACAGTAGTTTCCTCTCCCCCTTCCACCTCCAGTAATCCCTCCCTCCTGTTCTGACATATCTCAAGAGAAAGAGTGGTAGGAATTACTGTTAGAATTTTTGGTTACTTAACCTTCAGTTTTTTTAAATTTATTTCTATCTACAGGTCAGAAGGGAGCGTGTGGGCTAGAATGTGCGGAGGAGTGTTGGAGAAGAGTGGGAAGGTGTCTCATGTTAGAATGATATGGAGGAGTGTTAAAGTGAGCTTGATAATGTAGGCATGAGCTATAGAGGTGTTGAAGTGAATTTATGGAATACGTACATTAAGAGATGTGGGAGTGAATAGAAGGGACGTTTCATTCACTGATCATCACAAATCTTCAGGATTTAAGAATACAGCTTTTAAAGATATTATAAAGGATATATTTTAGAAAGGGTGTATGCCTCAGTGGGATATGGCCAGTTTGTTGAAAGAAGAAGTGAATCTTATAGGTAGTAGGATGGTAGACAGCAACCATTTGGGAAGGTACTACCGTCCTACCAAGCTAGTGTAAAAAGGAAGAATGTATTTGTTTTACATGATGGTAGGATTGCTGGTGTCTTTTTTCTGTCTCATAAACATGCAAGATTTCAGGTACGTCTTGCTAGTTCTACTTACACTTAAGTCACACTACACATACATGTACACGTTTATTGTATACACACTCATCTGAGTTTTCTTTGATTTTATCTTAATAGTTCTTGTTCTTATTGCTTTTCCTTTCATATCCATGGGAAAGTGGAATAAGAATCTTTCATCCGTAAGCCATGCGTGTTGTAAAAGTCAACTAAAATGCCGGGAACAATGGGCTAGTAACCCCTTTTCCCGTATAGCCTACTAAAAAGGAAAGGAAGAAAACCGTCAAAGTGGGATGTTTGAATGCGCATGGATGTTGTGCGAATGATAAGAAAGAGATGATTGTAGATGTTATGAATGAGAAGAAGCTGGATGTCCTGGCTTTAAGTGACGCAAAGCTGAAGTGGGTGGGAGAGTTTCAGTGGAGAGAAATAAATGGGATTAGATCAGGGGTTTCAAAGAGAGTTAGAACTATAGGAGTAGCAGCAATAATGTTGAAGGATAAGTTATGGCAGGAAAAGAGGGAATATAAATGTATAAATTCCAGGATTATGTGGTGTAAAATAAGGGCTGGATGTGAAAAGTGGGTTGTAGTAAGCATTTATGCACCTGGAGAAGAGAGAAGTGTAGAGGAGAGAGAGAGATTTTGGGAAATGTTGAGTGAGTGCATGGGAAGTTTCGACCAAGTGAGAGAGTACTTGTGGTTGGGGATTTCAATGCCTTTAATTGAGCTATGTGTAGAAAGAGGTTTGGTAATAAGTAATATATATTTTATGAAAAAAGAGGATAAATAAGTATACAAGGTATGATATAGTACATAATGAAAGTAGTTTGTTAGATTATGTTTTGGTGGATAAAAAGGTTGATGGTTAGGCTTCAGGATGTACATGTTTATAGAGGGGCAATTGATATATCGAATCATTATTTAGTTGTAGCTACAGCTAGAGTAAGAGGTAGATGGGACAAAAGAAAAATGGCAACAGCAAGTAAGAGAGAGGTGAGGGTGTATAAACTAAGGGAGGAGGAAATTAAGGTGAGATATAAACAGCTGTTGGCAGAAAGGTGGGATAGTGCAAGTATGAATAGTGTGTGTGTGTGGGGGGGGGGGGGGGTTGAAAAGGGTTGGAATAGTTTTAAATTTTTTTTTTCATCAAACCGGCCATATCCCACCGAGGGAGGGTGGCCCAAAAAGAAAAACAGAAATTTCTCTTTTTAAATTTAGTAATTTATACAGGAGAAGGGGTTACTAGCCCCTTGCTCCTGGCATTTTAGTCGCCTCTTACCACACGCATGGCTTACGGAGGAAGAATTCTGTTCCACTTCCCCATGGAGATAAGAGGAAATAAACAAGAACAAGAACTAGAAAGAAAATAGAAGAAAACCCAGAGGGGTGTGTATATATACGCTTGTACATGTATGTGTAGTGTGACCTAAGTGTAAGTAGAAGTAGAAGTAGCAAGATGTACCTGAAATCTTGCATGTTTATGAGACAGAAAAAAGGACACCAGCAATCCTACCATCATGTAAAACAATTAGGCTTTCATTTTACACTCACTTGGCAGGATGGTAGTACCTCCCTGGGTGGTTGCTGTCTACCAACCTACTACCTATAGTTTTAAAAATACAGTATTAAAATGTGGGACAGAAGTTTGTGGCTATAGGAGGGTGGGTGCAGGAGGAAAGAGGAGTGATTGGTGGAATGATGAAGTAAAGGGTGTGATAAAAGAGAAAAAGGTTGCTTATGAGAGGTTTTTACAAAGCAGAAGTGTTATAAGAAGAGCAGAGTATATGGAGAGTAAAAGAAAGGTGAAGAGAGTTTTGAGAGAGAGTGCAAAAGGAGTGCAGATGATAGAGTGGGAGAGGCACTGTCAAGAAATTTTGCAGAAAATAAGAGAAAATTTTGGAGTGAGATAAACAAGTTAAGAAAGCCTAGGGAAAGAATGGATTTGTCATTTAAAAACAGAGTAAGAGAGTTGATGGGGAACTGGAGGTATTGGGTAGATGGCAGGAACATATTGAAGAACTTTTAAATGTCAATGAAGAAAGGGAGGCGGTAATTTCATGCACTGGTCAAGGAGGTATAACATCTTTTAGGAGTGAAGAAGAGCAGGATGTGAGTGTGGGGGAGGTGCGCGAGGCATTATGTAGAATGAAAGGGGGTGAAGCCGCTGTTACTGACGGGATCATGACAGAAATGTTAAAAGCAGGGGGGGATATAGTGTTGGAGTGGTTGGTATTTTTGTTTAATAAATGTATGAAAGAGGGAGTTTATTATATTATTTCAGGTCACTTTTTATATTGTATCTTTATATATGCTTCTAAACTGTTGTATCTGGGCACCTTTGCAAAAACAGTGATTACGTATGAGTAAGGTGAAAGTGCTGAATGATGCTGAAAGTATTTTCGTTTTGGGTCACCCTGCCTAGGTGGGAGACGGCCGACTTGTCGAAAAAAAAAATGTATGAAAAAGGGGAAGGTACCTAGGGATTGGCAGAGAGCATGTGTAGTTCCTTTATATAAAAGGAAGGGGGACAAAAGAGATTGCAACAATTATAGGGGAATAAGTTTACTGAGTATAGCAGGAAAAGTGAACGGTAGGGTTATTATTGAAAGAATTAGAGGTAAGACAGAGAATAGGATTACACATGAACAAGGAAGCTTTAGAGTGGGTAGGGAATGTGTAGATCAAGTGTTTACATTGAAGCACGTTTTTTTTTTTTTTTTTCAACAAGTCGGCCGTCTCCCACCGAGGCAGGGTGACCCAAAAAAGAAAGAAAATCCCCAAAAAGAAAATACTTTCATCATCATTCAACACTTTCACCACACTCACACATTATCACTGTTTTTGCAGAGGTGCTCAGAATACAACAGTTTAGAAGCATGTATGTATAAAGATACACAACATATCCCTCCAAACTGACAATATCCCAAACCCCTCCTTTAAAGTGCAGGCATTGTACTTCCCATTTCCAGGACTCAAGTCCGACTATATGAAAATAACCGGTTTCCCTGAATCCCTTCACTAAATATTACCCTGCTCACACTCCAACAGATCGTCAGGTAAAAATATACCACGGGTGAGGTTAGAATCAGCAATCAGTGTGTCTTAATAACTCCAGACCGTCGCGTTAGTGTTGATCTTGACCTTGCCACGTATGTGAACAGTATTTAGATAAAAGTAGGGAAGTTTTCATTGCATTTATGGATTTAGAAAAGGCATATGATAGAGTGGATAAGGGAGCAATGTGGCAGATATTGCAAGTGTATGGAATAGGTGGTAAGTTACTAAATGCTGTAAAGAGTTTTTATGAGGATAATGAGGCTCAGGGTAGGGTGTGTAGAAAAGAGGGAGACTGCTTCCCAGTAACAGTAGGTCTTAGACAGGGATGTGTAATGCCACCATGGTTGTTTAATATATTTATAGATGGGGTTGTAAAAGAAGTAAATGCTAGGGTGTTGGGGAGAGGGGTGGAATTAAATTATTGGGAATCAAATACAAAATGGGAAGTGACACAGTTACATTTTGCTGGTGATACTGTGCTTATGGGAGATTCTAAAGGAAAGTTGCAAAGGTTAGTGGATGAGTTTGGGAGGGTGTGTAAAGGTACAAAGTTGAAAGTGAACATAGATATGAATAAGGTGATGAAGGTATCAAATGATTTAGATAAAGAAAAATTGGATATCACATTGGAGAGAGGGAGTATGGAAGAAGTGAATGTTTTCAGATATTTGGGAGGTTAACCATAGAATTGAAGAAAAAAAGGTGAGTGGTGCATTGAGGTATCTGTGGACACAAAAAATATTATCCATGGAGGCAAAGAAGGGAATGTACGAAAGTATAGTGGTACCAACACTCTTATATTGGTGTGAAGCTTGGGTTGCAAATGCTGCAGCGAGGAGGCGGTTGGAGGCAGTGGAGATGTCCTGTCTAAGGGCAATGTGTGGTGTAAATATTATGCAGAGAATTCGGAGTGTGGAAATTAGAAGGAAGTGTGGAGTTACTAAAAGTATTAGTCAGAGGGCTGAAGAGGGGTTGTTCAGGTGGTTTGGTCACTTAGAGAAAATGGATCAATGTAGAATGACTTGGAGAGCGTATAAATCTGTAGGGGAAGGAAGGTGGGGTAGGGGTTGTCCTCGAAGAGGTTGGAGGGAGGGGGTAAAGGAGGTTTTGTGGGTGAGGGACTTGGACTTCCAGCAAGCATGTGTGAGTGTGTTAGATAGGAGTGAATAGAGATGAATGATTTTTTGGGACCTGACGAGCAGTTGGAGTGTGAGCAGGGTAGTATTTAGTGAAGGAGGGAAACCGGTTATTTTTATATAGCCGGACTTGAGTACTGGAAATGGGAAGTACGATGCCTGCCCTTTAAAGGAGAGGTTTGGGATATTGGGATATTGGCAGTTTGGAGGGGTATGTTATATATACACCTACCATCCGACTTACGACCTGCTCGACTTACGACCACTCGACTTATGACCGTATTTTTTATGCCAAATTTCTGGGAAATAAACAACTATTTGTGTTGTACACAGTGTTTATCCTAAACCTTACAGTGTAAAATACAGTACTAACAACATAAAAAGTAAAGTAAAACATAAAATACCAAAATAAAACAATAAAATAAAGTCATTACACAAATGTTTTGTTGATATTCAGTAGTAAAGTTCGACTTACAACCGGTTTCTCGGAACCGAACTCGGTCGTAAGTCGGATGGTAGGTGTACTTCTAAACTGTTGTATCTGGGTGCCTCTGCAAAGACAGTGATTATGTGTGAGTGAGGTGAAAATGTTGAATGATGATGAAGGATTTTCTTTTTGGGAGATGGCTGACTTGTTGAAAAAAAAAAAAAAATATACAATACAGTATTCTTTTCTCTAAGATTAATGAATTTTTTCATATGGCCAACATACCTATACTGAATGTATTCATCAAAAACATATTTTTTTTGAGTAGGTAGTAGATTGGTAGACAGCTGCCATCAAGGTAGGTACTAACATCCTTTAATAATAGTGTAAAATGGAAACCTGTTGCTGGGTAAATGTTTTACACTGTCCATATTGCTAGCCTTTCCTCTCTGCTTCATTTATACATGAGATAATAGGAGAATCTTACTAATATCTACTTGCATTCAGTATATACTTATCTTTACTGTTTTGTTTTCCCCAGTAATTCTTAATCCTGTAATATTTTTTAAAAAATTTACTATTCCTGGTCAGAGACAGGTTGTGAAGTAGACACCTGGAACCATCAAGGGATGAGAGAAACTGTACTCACTTTTCAGACTCTGGTTGTTCATGATGGTATTCATAAAGGAAAGGCTTGCCCAGTGAAGGACTGCACATTTACCACCTCGCATAACAAAGACCTTAATCGGCATATACGCAAACATACTGGTTAGTGACCGATTTTTCACTACTTTCTAGCTTTGCATCATTTATCTCCATTCAGTTTTGCTCTTATTGTATTTCGTGTTTCACAAATGTTGTGTTAACCTTAATATTTTGATGTTGAAACTTGAGCTTATCAGTGTTACAGTATATTATTCTAAGTTAGTTTCAAGGTGATTTTAATTTTAAGTTAGTCTGAAATTGTTTTTAATTTGGCCAAAATGCATTTCATAACCAGGATCTTTTCCATGCAAGTTATTGCAAAACTTTGTAAATCAACATATCTCTATCTATGTATCTTCAAGGTAAACAATTTTTTTGTTTTTATGTATAATAAACTCATAGGTAGTAGGTTGGTAGACAGCAACCACCCAGGGAGGTACTACCGTCCTGCCAAGTGAGGGTAAAACGAAAGCCTGTAATTGTTTTACGTGATGGTAGGATTGCTGGTGTCCTTTTTTCCATTTCATAAACATGCAAGATTTCAGGTAGGTCTTGCTACTTCTACTTACACTTAGGTCACACTACACATACATGTACAAGCATACATGTATATAGTATACACACCCCTCTGGGTTTTCTTCTATTTTCTTTCTAGTTCTTGTTCTTGTCTATTTCCTCTTATCTCCATGGGGAAGTGGAATAGAATTCCATGCGTGTTGTAAGAGGCGACTAAAATGCCGGGAGCAAGGGGCTAGTAACCCCTTCTCCTGTATATATTACTAAATTTAAAAGGCAAAACTTTCATTTTTCCTTTTGGGCCACCCCACCTCAGTGGGATACGGCTGGTGCGTTGAAAGAAAGAAGTATAATAAACTACACTGCAACATCCTGACCCCTCCTTCAGAGTACAGGTACTGTCCTTCCCACCTCCAGGACTCAAGTCAAGCTAACTGGTGCTCCTGAATTCTTTATAAAAGTTACTTTGCTCACACTCAGCATGTCAGGTCATCAAAACCACTCATCTCCACTTGCTCCATTCTAACATGCTTACATAAACTTGCTGAATGTTCAAGCTCCTAGCACTCAAAACCTCTTTTACCCCAACTTCCAACTTTTCTTGGGACAGTCATGGAAAAACACTTATATTCTTGAATTATGACCATATTCCTTTAACTTAATATTAAAGCTCTGTTCTGTTTTTGAACATTTCGCTGGGCCTTATTTGAAATAATGAAGACTCTGCTGTATAAAGCATCTGCAAATATTAATTGTCTGCATTTCTCCAACAGGTGAAAAACCATACCGATGCGAGGAGTGTGGAACTTGCTTCTCACGAGGGGACAAATTGAAGGTGCATGCGCGAATTCACTCCAATTTGCGGCCGTATTGGTGCCAAGAACCAGGTTGTCAGTATCGTGCTATTGATTCAGGCAGTCTTAGGAAGCACACCAGAACACACACAAATGAGCGACCATATAGGTACTGCATGTCTGGTGTGTTGTTTATGTATAAAAAGTGACAGATTGAATTTTTATAATTGGTATTTCTCTTATGCCAGTGATACCATAATCATAATCTGTTTTATTTTCCATTTGTGTTGCAAAGATTTTTTTACATGGAAAAGCCCATAGGTATGCAGTTGAGCAGATTTAAACTAAGAGTAATACTGGTTCCATTATAAGCTCCAGTCTTCATGCCTCTGTGTTAGATTGATAAAGCTTGCTACTCTGACAAAACATCTCTCAAAACATATCCAGGTGTTGCATGTCTCTCTTATTCATCATCATACAGTGTTTTCCTAATTAATTATTACATTTAATAATCTTCAGACAAGTTAATTATATTAAATTTATTCACATAATCTGAAATCCGCTATATAATGTCTAGTTTTAAGTCTTCATGAAATGTTTTGAATAACCCAAGGCTTTTCAAATTGGATGAAATAAATAAATTTTGTATCAGTTGTGTATATTTGGAAAATAAAACTTGCTTTTTTTATTAAATATAAATGAATCTTAGAGGTAGTAGGTTGGTAGACAGCAACCACCCAGGGAGGTACTACCGTCCTACCAAGTGAGTGTAAAACGAAAGTCTGTAATTGTTTTACATGATGGTAGGATTGCTGGTGTTTTTTCTGTCTCATAAACATGCAAGGTTTCAGGTATGTCTTGCTACTTCTGCTTACACTTAGGTCACACTACACATACATGTACAAGCATATGTATACACACCCCTCTGGGTTTTCTTCTATTTTCTTACTAGCTCTTGTTCTTGTTTATTTCCTCTTATCTCCATGGGGAAGTGGAACAGAATTCTTCCTCCGTAAGCTATGCGTGTTGTAAGAGGTGACTAAAATGCCAGGAGCAAGGGGCTAGTAACCCCTTCTCCTGTATATATTACTAAATGTGAAAGGAGAAACTTTTGTTTTTCCTTTTGGGCCACCCCGCCTCGGTAGGATACGGCTGGTGTGTTGAAAGAAAGAAAGGATTGCTGGTGTTTTTATTCTGTCTCATAAACTTGCAAGATTTCAGGTGTGTCTTTCTACTTCTAGTTATGCTTAGGTCACACTACACATGCATGTACAAGCATATACACCTACCATCCGACTTACGACCGAGTTCGGTTCCGAGAAACCGGTCGTAAGTTGAAATGGTCGCAAGTCGAACTTTACTACTGAATATCAACAAAACATTTTTGTAATGACTTTATTTTATTGTTTTATTTTGGTATTTCATATTTTACTTTACTTTTTATGTTGTTAGTACTGGATTTTATACTGTAAGGTTTAGGATAAACACTGTACAACACAAATAGCTGTTTATTTCCCAGAAATTTGGCATAAAAAACACGGTCGTAAGTCGAGTGGTCGTAAGTCGAGTGGTCGTAAGTCGAGCAGGTCGTAAGTCGGATGGTAGGTGTATATACACACCCATCAGGGTTTTCTTCTTTCACACTAATTCTTATTTATTTCCTCTTATCTCCATGGGGAGGTGGACCAGAATTCTTCCTCCGTAAGCCATGAGTGTCGTAAGAGGTGACTAAAATGCCAGGAGCAGGGGGATAGTAACCCCTTCTCCTGTATACATTACTAAAGTTAAAAAGAGAACCTTTTGTTTTTCTTTTGGGGCCACCCTGCTTCGGTGGGATATGGCCACATAGATGCATTCTCTCATATTTAGGCCCAAATTTACCACTCACAGCTTCTGAGTGAACTGAGCTCATGACGTAGTACTACGACTTGGACCCTAGCTTCAAAGCTGTAGAACTACAGGACACCCTCAAAGGGTTAATATAGTATCTACGTAGATACAGTCAGGTATGAGTAATATCAAAGTAGCATGATAGCCTCTTGAGCAGCACTATGGCTACTAGACATTGGGGTAAGGCTTTGTGTAAAAAATTGTACCAGACGTTAATAGCGGTAGTATTTACAATTTGACACAGAACCTTGCTAAATTAACTTAAATCAATAAACTATCAAAAGTAAAAATATAACTTGAATAGTACATTGGAAGTTTGTATTAATAATGGCAGTTGTAACTTTACACAAAACTTAGTGTTCAATAATTGAAAGTTAGCACAACAAAGTAATGTACAACAGTAATAATATACCATAGTTCACATATAGAAGCGAAGCTTAATGTGGAATTGTTACTGAGAAGTTTATGGTGGTTCCATGTTTGATGTATTCAGTCATGTAATAAAATTTTTCTCATGGTTAAATACATAACTTACAACAGAATGCTGTAAACTTATTTTGGATAGAGATTTTAGTGCATGGTAATCAGTGTTATGTATTCTTTTCACATCAAGTGTACATTATTAATAAAATCATCTTTCTTCTTTAAACAAACCAACCATATCCTACTGAGGTAGGGTGGCCCAAAAAGAAAAACAAAAGTTTCTCTTTTGAAATTTAGTAATGTATACAAGAGGAGTTACTAGCCCTTTGCTCCTGGCATTTTTGTCGCCTCTTACGGCGCACATGGCTTATGTAGGAAAAATTTTGTTCCACTTTCCCAAGGAGATTTAATAAAGTCGTCAGTCCTTGGAAAAAAAAAACTGAAAAGGACTTGGGATTCAACAGTACAAATCTAACGCTCAACGGTAAACACAAATCTAAGTAAGCAAATTGAAATGCAGCAGATATATAACAAAATTATTTTCTGTCCATATAGTGTCCAGTAACTTGGAATGCAGGTTTCCACTAGCGGTATGGGTTTCTAAGACTTTTTATAACTTTGGTGAAAGATTTAGTTAAAATACTGAGTTTATGTATAATTTTTTTTTTCACTCAGTTGTCTCCCACCAAGGTAGGTGACCCCCCAAAAAATGGAAATACATTTACTGTTTTTCATTCCAGAAGTGCATGGACATCATAATTTAAATGACCCTTCAAGCTGCAAAATCCCCACTCCTACAGAGTTCAGGCATTGTACCTCTGCCTCCAGGACTCGAGTCTGCCTAACCAGTTTTCCTGAATCCCTTCATAAATGTTACCTTGCTCACTTCCAATAGCACATCAAATCATAAACACCACTTGTCTCAACTCTCATATAATATGCTGGCACATACCTGCCAGAGGCTTAAGTGCTCCTTGAGCCTTGCACCTTGTTATTTACAGGTGCCAGCTGTGTCCGTATAGTGCTAGAGATGGTTCTCAGTTAACGGTGCACCTCAGAACACACACAGGTGGGCAGTTTTAAAATTTTACCTTGTGTATGAGAAAATCTATAAAAACATTTTTCCAGATTCAGACTTTCCAAGGAGTGTGTTCTTTTTACTTATAGAAAACCTAAATGTTCTCACATTCATAACTGCTGTCTTGTTTTAGTAGTTCATAAAAGCTGGAGAAAGAATAGCAATAAAGTTAAACAAATAAAAATTATACTGACAGAAATGGGGATTTTTAGATGCCTCGGCTTTGACTTTGAAATTAAACGAGGTATTTCTTATACTTTCTGATATTAATTAATGGTATTATTATTTCAGGAGATACTCCATTTCAGTGTATGATAGAAAACTGCTCTGCTGCATTCAAGACAAGTTCTGATCTCCGTCGCCATGAAAGACTTCATACTGGTGTGAAGCCATACAAGTGTTCAGCCTGTGATTATGCTTGTGCTATAAAGTGTAAGTTGTTTTATCAGCAAATAAGATTTTGAATTTTAACATTGATTCTTAACCCGTAAACGGTCCAAACGTATATATATGTTCACTACCCCAGTGCCCCGAATATTTTGAAAAATAGAAAAATCTTTTTTTTTTTTTTTTAATGAAAATAAAGAGCATGGTGGGGAGGGCAGCGGCGTCTTGAAGCTTGAAAAACAAAGTCCACCCCTGACAGTGATGTGGTAAGATGAGATAACATTTGATAAGAGCTGACATTTGATGAGCATATGCGAGGGTGCAGTGATAACACTTGATGAGATTAGAGGTGACATTTGATGAGCATGGGCCCTGGCTTTGTTTTTGCTGGTACACAAACATGTCTGTCTGTCTGTCTGTCTGTCTGTCTATCTATCTGTCTAGCCCTCTGTCTCAGAGAGAGCCACAAAACTGCATCATCACGTTTACTCCTATCTTCAAGCAGAGTATAGCACTTTGTCTGGATTTTTTGGGTCATCCTAGGTAATTTACACTATGTATACTTGTATTTATGTGTACCTGTGAGACAGAGATAGACAGAGATTGAAAGAGATAGACAGAGACAGATAGAGACAAAGATAGAAACAAGGATAGACAGAGACACACAGATAGACACAGAAGAACAAACAGAGCCAGGACGCCAGCAGCCGGCCAGCCATGCAGCTGGCCAGCCAGCCAGCCAATCAGCCAGTCTGCTGAACAAGTGTTACTTTCCAGAATTGTTTCTCTTTACTTAGGGCATAGGTTATAAGACATTCTGAAAGGGTGTTGCACAAATGTTGCACACAGGTTATTATGGAGGTTTCTTGATATTTCCTTGACCACATCCACCTCAAAGCCACTAAACTTGGAGTCAACATTATTTTCCTCTTAAAATAGGAGAGTTAATACAACATGAAATCAGTGAATCCCAGGTGTTTGCTGCGCTGTTTGCTCTAGCTGACGCTCATTTGAACTGGTGCTCCCACAAGGTACTAAGTGGTCCCAGATTGTTTTAATACAGTGCACACTGAGTGTTATGACCCATTCTATGCTGACAAGGCATCTCGGGCCAGTCATGACTTATTTGAAGGCAGGAAAAATAAAATGTTTATATACGTTTGGGGCACTAGTGGTAAGAACGTATATATACGTTTAGACCGTTTACGGGTTAAGTATGCACAAAGGTGTTATTTTTCTGTTTCCTGTTGTCACACCTCCATCAACACAGTACAGTGGACCCCCGCCTTACAATCAGCTCCCAACTTGAATGATTATGTAAGTGCATTTTTGTAAGTGCTTTTGTACGTGTATTTTTGGGGGTCTGAAACGGACTAATCTAATTTACAATATTCCTTACGGGAACAAATTCGTTCAGTAACGGCACCTGAACAGACTTCTGGAATGAATTAATATCGTAAGTTGGGGGTCCACTGTATATGAATTACATAACTAACTTTATAATGATACATATCTTTGTTTTGCTTTGATATACAGTAGTCCTCCTGTATCCACGGGTGATATGGTCCATGGCCTACTAGGATGCTCGAAACCGTGGAGAGTAGTGAACCCTATATATAAGTCGTTTTTCATTTACATACATACCTGTGATGGTCAGTGTTAGAAGGGTGTAGGGATGGAGGCTGGAAGCAATGAGGTGATGTGATGGTGACCACGTGGGTGGGAGTATTGGTGACCCAGTGTGGGTGGTAGTGTGGATGATGGGTGACTGAGCAGGTGAGAGTGCAGTTAGTGTGGGCAGTAATTGGGGTTATTGGTGGCTACATAACTAGGAGTGTAGATGGCATGTTAGGGTGTGTGGGCTGTGAAAACAGGTAAGGTGTGGGCATGGGGCTGTGAGGGCTAGAAGCTGTGGAGGAGTGGTGAGTGAAAGCATGAATAAGGTGGGGACATGTGGGCTGGAAATCACCAATCACCACCTACACCAGAGGTCTAGTGTAGGTGGTGATTAGATGATGGGTGACTGGATGGGCAATTGTGCAGTTGGTGGTAATGTGCATGGTGGGTAATTAAGTGATTAGGTATGTGGACAGCATGTGAGGGTGAAAGGTCAGGTAAGGTGTGCGAGTGAGGTCATAGGGGAAATGTGGCTGTGAGGAAATGGTCGTTGTGGGCGGAATGGTGTAAGTGTGTGTGGCCATGGAGGAAGTATGGGCAAATTGTGTGGGGGTAGGTTGTTGGTTGTGATGGTGTGGGTGAAGGCATGTGGCTGTGGGGGAGTTGTGTGGGTGGAGGTTGCTGGTTGGAATGGTGTGTGTGTGAAGGTGTGTGGTTGTGGGGGAATTATAGGGGTGGGAAGTATGGGTGGGAGAGGCAAGAATGAGTTAGAATCATGAAATGAGTGAAGGCAAGTGGCTGTGGGGGATTTATAGGGGCAGGTGGTATGGGTGGGGATTGTGGGCAGGAGGGGTTGTTGCTGGGTGTACAGCGAGGGTGTGGCATGAATGAGCAGTTGGTGTGGGTGGAGGTGTGTATCAACATAGGACAAGGTATGGTATGAGATGCACGTGAACAGAGCTGAGTCTAGCAGCTGTGTAGCCTCACTCCTCCCACTTTGTAACCATGCCAAATGGTGATTTTTAATATATTAAGTAATATTAATAATAATATTTGTTAATAATAATAGGAGAGCAGTGTGGCAGATATTGCAAATGTATGGAATAGGTGGTGGGTTACTGAAAGCAGTTAAGAGTTTTTGCAAGGGTAGTGAGGCTCAGGTTAGAGCAGGGATGAGCAAACTGCTGCTCACTGCCAAATCAAGTCATATACGTATTCACGTATATGCAGCTGAGTGAGCAATACTTTGTTCATTTTCCTCTGTTGAAAACATGAGCTGTTACACAAGCATTATCAGACAAATACAGTTCCCAGTTGATGGCACTGAAAAGTTTGCCCACCCCTGGGTTAGAGTATATAGGAGGGAAGGAGATTATTTTCCAGTAAAAGTAGGCCTTAGACAGGGATGTGTGATGTCACCATGGTTGTTCAATATATTTTTAGATGGGGTTGTAAGAGTGAAGGCAAGAGGTGTGAGGTTAAAAGATAAAGAATCAAACACAAAGTGGGAGTTGTCACAGTTACTCTTTGCTGATGACACTGTGCTTTTGGGAGATTCAGAAGAGAAGTTACAGAGGTTGGTGGATTTATGAAAGATGAGGTGAATCATAGAATTGATGAGGGGAAAAAGGTGAGTGGAAATCTGAAGAGTCTGTGGAGATAAAGAACATTATTCATGGAAGCAAAGAGGGGAATGTATGAAAGTATAGGTATACCAACGCTCTCATATGGGTGCGAAGTATGGGCGGTGAATATTTCAACAAGGACATGGCTGGAGGCAGTGGATATGCCGTGTCTGAGGGCAGTTTCCAGTGGTGAATATAATGCAGAGAATCCATAGCTAGGAGATTAGAAGGAGGCACAGGGTTTCTAAAAGTATTATCCAGAGGGCAGAAGAAGGGTTGTTGAGGTGGTTTGGACATCCAGAGAGGATGGAACAAAATAGAATGACTTGAAGAGCATATAAATCTTTAGCCTTTACTTGTTCATGTAAGGTCAACTACAACATCCTAAACATTAAGAATCTGGCACAAATTTTACCAAGTTATTGCCATATTAAAAATCATTATTTTTGGTTTTTCTTATATTTTTGGGCAAACTTCATGAAGTTTCTAGTATACACTTTGGACCACCTTCTTAACTTAAAATAAAAAATAATTTAAATTGGATTATTTTTAAAGTTTTCCTAGTTGAATCCTGCTCCCCTCCCTTCTGAATATTTTCGGGCCAACACGGACCTCTGATAACTGAACCTGTGGATACGGGGGTTCTACTGTATTCTAATCCTCCTTCATTAATGCATTGGTTCTCATGCACTATTCTTTCACTTGCCCTTCACACTTCTTGTATCTTTCTTCCTTTCTATCTCTCTACATGCTAGTTACTGTATTTTACAGAATTGAAGGCCTTATTTTTATCCCAAAATAAGTCTCGAAATTTTACCCGGCATCTTGGAGGCTGAAGTACCATTTTTTTTTTTTTTCCCAAATTTAGCCCATCAGAATTAGGGAAGGGGGGGGGGGTCCTCGACACCAGAGCGTCTTGTTTGCCGTAAAATACGGTAAATGTGAAAATCAAATCTCCACAATAGTGAAGATGATCCATTGTCTAGTTAACTTGTACTATACCAACTCTCCCACCAAGGTAGGATAACTCAGAATAAGGAAACATTCAACATTATTCAGTAGCTATATTACTAGAAGTGTGCAAACAAAATTAAAATTATCCTCAGAACTGCAACATCTGCAATTTTCCTTCAGTAGGTGGCCACTGTACTTTCCACCCCCAGGGCTTAGGGATTGACCACCTACTAAAGTTGAGGAACTGATCACCTCAAAACTATTACTGTACTACTTTACCATCTCTAGTGTTATATTTATTTGTATTTGACTGAAGGATTTAGGAGTTCTGGTTAGAAGTAATCTGAAACCAAGACAACAGTGCTTAAGTGTTCACAGTAAAGCAAACAGAATTCTTGTCTTCACATCAAGGAGCATAAAGTCCTGAGGTTGTTCAACTCTGTATCTTTGGTTAAGCCTCATTTAGATTATGCTGCACAGTTCTGGTCACCATATCACAGAATGGATATAAATACTCTGGAAAATGTACAAAGGAGGATGACAAAGTGATCCCATGTATCAGAAATCTTCACTATGAGGACAGACTGAGGGCCCTGAATCTGCACTCTCTAGAAAGGCGCAGAATTAGGGGGTACAGTGGACCCCCGGTTAACGAACTTTTTTCATTCCAGTAGTATGTTCAGGTGCCAGTACTGACCGAATTTTTTCCCATAAGGAATATTGTGAAGTAGATTAGTCCATTTCAGACCCCCAAACATACACGTACAAACGCACTTACATAAATACACTTATATAATTGGTCGCATTTGGAGGTGATCGTTAAGCGGGGGTCCACTGTATATGTTGTGTATCTTTATATGTGTATACTTCTAAACTGTGTATTCTGAGCACCTCTGCAAAAACAGTGATAATGTGTGAGTGTGGTGAAAGTGTTGAATGATGATGAAAGTATTTTCTTTTTGGGGATTTTCTTTCTTTTTTGGGTCGCCCTGCCTCGGTGGGAGATGGCCGACTTGTTGAAAAAAAAAAAAAAAATGATTGAGGTGTATAAATGGATAACAGGAATTAATAAAGAGGATGTAAATAGTGTGCTAAAAATATCTAATATAGACAGGACTCGCAGCAATGGTTTTAAATTAGAAAAATTCTGATTCAGGAAGGATATAGGAAAGCACTGGTTTGGTAATAGGGTTGTGTATGAGTGGAACAAACTCCCGAGTACAGTCATAGAAGCTAAGATGTTGTGTAGTTTTAAAAATAGGTTGGATAAATACATGTGTGGGTGGGTGAGAGTTGGACCTAAGTGACGTGTCTGACCTCACTAGGTCAGTGAGGTCAGACGGTCAGTGAGCTTAAGGTCACTAGGTCAGTGAGCTTAAGCTGGTAGGGGAATTGGACCTGCCCCACATAGGCCAGTAGGCCTGTTGCAGTGTTCCCTCTTTCTTATGTTCTTATAAATATACTTGTGTTGTACATGTCTTAATCATCAAGGATAAGTGACCGATCCACTTTTGAATTTTACTTGTTAATGGATGGGTGATTTACACATTACTTCAACATGACACATATACAGTGGATCCTCGACCAACGATGGCATCGTACAACGTTAAATCCGACTAGCGATACATTTTAACGTAAAAATTTTGCCTCGACTAGTGCTAAAAAGTTCGACCAATGTGATTCGTTCCGTTCGAGATGTGTCCACGTGTGGCCTGCGCAGTGTTTACAAGCCAGCCACTGCGGTCGCATCCAAACATACAATCGGAACATTTCATATTATCACAGCGTTTTTAGTGATTGCACCTGCAAAATAAGTCACCATGGGCCCCAAGAAAGCTTCTAGTGCCATCCCTGTGATAAAAAGGGTGAGAATTAGTATGGAAATTAAGAAAGATTTTGAAGGGTTTAGGGCTAACCCTGAGACGCCTATGCCAGTTGTGGAATCCATTAAGTCTACTTCAAAGATTAAGGAAATGTGTGCAAAGTGGGTTGTACTGCAAACCTTTATGGATGAAAATCACCCTAACACAGCTATTGCAAGCCGTGCTGGTGACTATTACAATGACAATGTTATGGCCCATTTTAGACAAATCATAAAGGAACGGGAGGTACAGAGCTCTATGGACAGATATGTTGTGCGACAGAGGTCCAGTGACTCTCAAGCTGGTCCTAGTGGCATTAAAAGAAGAAGGGAAGTAAACCCGGAAAAGGACTTGACACCTCAAGTCCTAATGGAAGGGGATTCCCCTTCTAAACACTAACACCATCCATACTCTCCCCTCCTCCCATCCCATCAATCACCACCAGATCTTCAATAAAGGTAAGTGTCACGTAATTGTACATGCCTTCTTCAGTTTGTGTGTATTAAAATTAATATTTCATGTGGTAAAAAATTTTTTTTTTGCAATACTTTGGAGTGTCAGGAACGGATTAATTTGATTTCCATTATTTCTTATGGGGAAAATTAACTCGACTAACGATGAGCTCTCAGGAACGGATTAATATCGTTGGTCGAGGGTCCACTGTATAGGTTGCATATTGTATGATTCAACTAACATACACATGTGTGTATATGCATACATGTACATGTGTGTGGCAGACATGGGTATGCTTTTTTTATATGGGTTATAAAGTTAGGCTATATGGAATGTGCTTTATTACCTTAAAGAAAAAAATGAGGTGGAGAATGTAATTGGTAGGAATATAGGGACATATAAATGGTGTTACTTGAGTTAGTGTTAGTCATTGATTAAAACTTTTTGTAGGACCTATCAGAATGAGATGAATTCATTCTTTGTTTCAGCATCTTGATTGCCCTGGTGGAGTGGAAACTTGCACTGGTTCATTAATACCATTAATCATGCTTCTGTGTTGCTGCATACACAGTTGTGTGAAATTTTGGCTTATGATTCTACGAAGTTGACACCTCGGAATATTAAACATTTGCCCCTACTGTTCTTTTAATGACTGGGCTCTGCTTTACAATTTCTGTGGAAGTGCTTTTCATTTTCAAATTTATGAAGTATTTAATTTTACTTGGCAATTTATCCAATACATTGAAAATGTAAATTTGTAATATACTGTACTTATACCTTTTTTTTTTTTTTATTTTACAGCCAATTTGACAGTACACATGAGACTGAATCATTTCAAGGGGGCAAAATTCAGCTGCACCAAGTGTGAATTTCTGGGTAACAGTCGTAAGCAGCTGAAGGATCATGAAAAGTCCCATGCAAGTTAGTCCACACAGTGTCCAAACTTTTTTTATTGCATTAACAAGAATTTGTGTGCGCTTCAGTAATCGTTTGATATACAATTCAAGTTACTGATAGTGGAAATTAAATAGATTCTTCCCATGACTGTATGGCCTATACATGCTTATGGTATACACTGTACACAGTATTTGGACTTGATATTCATTTGTTTTGTTTCTTGGTAGATGTGTTGTTGCAGTGTGACTTATGTGATCATGTGAGCACAAGTAGTACTGGCCTCAGGCAACACATGCTAATACATTCCCAAGAAAAACCATTTCAGTGCCGCTACTGCTCATTTACATGTAAAACTACTGGTAAGTACAGAACAGTATTTCATTTTTCTTTGAATTTTGTATTCAGTTATTCCTTCATATTTTAAAGGTACTGCGCTTCACTGAATTGGTTTCTTCACTAAAGTAGTTGAAAATTGGTTCAAACTCAAGCAAAAGTAAGCAAGTTTAGCTCTTCTTGAGCATGTTCTCTATGGCAGAGAATAATTGTTTTGTTGAAATAGAAGTTTTTATTCCTGGTTAGCTGCTACACTTGTAAAATCTGCATTTAAATGAAAAATCATAACTTACCATCATCCCATGTAAAGCGAGTGGCCCACATAGAAGGTTCTTAGCACGTAACCATATCTATGCACTGCTGTACATTTAGTTATGAATGGAATACGCATTAGAACCACTTTGTTCTTTTGCTGTTGTGTTAATAGAAATAATTGTTTTAACCCTTTCAGGGTCCACAGGCCCTCTCAGAAACTTGTTCTCAGGGTCCCCCAAATAAAAAAAAAAAAAAAAAAAAAAAAAAAAAAAAAAAAAAAAAAAAAAATTATGAAAAGATAGAGAATCTTTTCCTGATCATAATGACACCAAGAGTATAAAATTTGATGGAAAACTTATGGAATTGTGCTCTCGCGAAGTTAGCGGTCTCAATGTTTACGCATCGGCGATTTTGCCCACTTTGAGCCCTATTTTCGGCCAATTCCAGTGTATGAGTCGACAAAAATCATACCTATTTAGCTAGAACTCCATTTTTTTCTATCGAATGAGTACAAGAAACCACCCATTTACCGATTTCAACTATCCAGTACAGTGGTCAGAATTTAGCAATTTTGCCAATTTCACACAAATTTCAAAAGATGCCAATTTCCGAATAGGGTCCAGAATAAACAAGAAAGACATTCCTGGCACTAAAATAACATTTCCTCTGTTCATTAGTCACGTCCCCATGCCCCTCACATTCTTTTGCTTTCCATTTTGAATTTTTATTCTCACAAAAAATAGAAGATTTACTGTTATGCAGACTATTGCATTAGTGTAGAAATGGTATAAATAATATCGGCGCACTTGTGAAAGAATATTAGACTCGCCAATTGATGTGTATTGAACTTTGGTAAAAATCGAACATTTCTGCTACTTTAAGCTCAATTTCAAGGTACTTTTCATTGTAAAACCAGTCAAAATCATCTCAATTTCTGTAATATATCTTCCATTCTGTCAAATGAGACCAGGAAAATTAGAATACAGCAATAAATACCATATGAAAATACAGTGCACACTCGCTGTTTTAATCCAAAAACACGGTCAAAGTTTTTTTTTTCTCATTATGCACTGTTTGCTGCAGGATTTTTTTTATACCTCGCACACTGACCACATAGACCCATTCTTTCATATGTAGGCCTACCAGCTTTCTCTCACTAGATTTGAAGGTGCTAGAATTTATGAGTAGTACATCAAGGACCCTGGCACGTAAGCTGTATTAGTACGGCCGAAACCGTGAAAGGGTTAATGCACTGTGATAACTGTTCATGAGAAAATTTATATAAATCATAATTTTAACATTTTATAACATTTACCATAAATCTACTGTACATATATAGTATATGTATTCACAAGTAAATACAAGTTTGTGTTTTATAGGAAATCTTCGTTATCATGTTCGAAACAAACATGGCTGTGATGTGTCTGGTCGCAAACGAGGAACTACGGGTAACACTGTGGTAGGAGGCCGAGGCCGGAATGGCACAGGTGGCAACAGTGGAGGCAGGAGAGCCAACAGACCATCATGTTATCGCAGCTATAAATGCAGTGAATGTGGTAGTGGGTTTGTTCGGGAAGATTCTTATAGGTAAGAATAATGTGTGTTTAGCATTGTAGCTGTAATGCATTGGATTGGCATTAAATATTTTTCCATGTAAAAAAAAAAATTGATACTACTGTTTCCTTTGAAATGTTATACAACTACAGTGAAATTTATAAGATTTAGTTTTTAAAAGGCAATCTTTTCCAGATCACATATGCGTCAACATGAGAAACACAAGATGGCCCAGGCTATATCAGGCAAAATGGAACCAGATGTGTTTAGTGTTGTAGTGCAGGTAATGCTCTGAATTACGATGCCCCTTCTGAGGCACAGTTAGGTAGTGTGTGTAGGGCTAAGCAGGGGTTGTTCAGGTGCTTTGAGCATTTAGGGAAGATGGAGCAGAATAGGATGACCAACAGTGTGTATAAATATGGAGTGGAAAGGAGGGATAAGGGTTACGTCAGGTAGGGATGGAGGGAGGGGGGGAAGGGGTAAGAGAGGTTTAGAGCATTCAGTAGGCTTGTGAGAGTATCTTAGAATGGATTGAGCAGAAACAAATGATTTTTATTCCTTGATGTTCTGTTGAAGTGTGAGCAAGGTAATTGTGAAGGAATTCAGGAAAACTGGTTAGCTGGACTCGAGCCCTGCAGGCGAGAGGTACAGTGCCTACACTCTGAAAGACAAGTGGGGATGTTGCACTTCAAAGGGTCATTTAAGTTGTGATGTCTACACATTTCTGGCAAGACAGCTATTGAATCAGAGATAATGAATGTTTTCCTTTGTGGGTCACCCCCCTTTGGTGAGAAGCAGTTGGAGAGTTAAAAATAAATAAATGTAAATTCTTTTTTTTTTCAACAAGTCGGCTGTCTCCCACTGAGGTGGTAGGATTGCTGTTTTTTTTTTTTTTTGTCTCGTGAACATCCAAGACTTCAGGTACGTCTTACTACTTCTACTTACACTTAGGTCATACTACACATACATGTACAAGCATATATATGCACACCCCTCTGGGATTTCTTCTATTTTCTTTCTTGTTATTGTTTATTTCTTCTTATCTCCATGGGGAAGTGGAACAGAATTCTTCCTCCGTAAGCCATGCGTGTTGTAAGAGGCGACTAAAATGCCGGGAGCAAGGGGCTAGTAACCCCTTCTCCTGTATAAATTACTAAATTTAAAAAGAGAAACTTTCGTTTTCTTTTTGGGCCACCCTGCCTTGGTGGGATACGGCCGGTTTGTTGAAAAAAAAAAAAAAAAAAAGTGCAAGATTTTAGGTACATCTTGCTACTTCTGCTCACACTAAAGTCACTCTGCACATGCATATACAAACATATATCTATATACACACTCCTCTGGGTTTTCTTCTATCTTCTCACTGGTTCTTGTTCTTGTTTCCTCCATAAGCCGTGCTTATTGAAAGAAGCGACTAAAATGCTGAGAGCGAGGAGCTAGTAACCCCTTCTGTATATATTACTAAATTTAAAAGGAGAAACTTTCGTTTTTCCTTTTGGGCCACCCTGCCTCGGTGGGATACGGCCGGTGTGTTAAAAGAAGGAATAAAAAGTGATGTGGGATGAGAGCAAGTACTGAGGGTGGCTTTTATCATATGAAGAAAATGAATTTAATAATACTATGAGACAGGAAGTGAATGTTTTTGCAGTACATACATCAAGAAAAAAAAAATTTTTTTCCAATGAAAAGGGGCCCCCTTTTTAAACGATTTTTTCCTGCAAGGGGGTAATTTTTTTCGAAATAATCTTTAGGGAAATGTTTTTCCCCATAAAAAATTTTTGGAAAAAAAAATTTTTAACCCCTGCGAACCCCAAAAGTTAAAAAAATTTTTTTTTTTACCACGAAATATTTTTTTTAATACCACAAACAAAAAAAGGCATGAACTTACATACACTTACTTTTATTAAGTTGGGTGTGATTGTGGGATGGGGGAGGGGGGAATTTTTTTTTATGTTTAAAAGGGGGAATCCCCTTCCTTAGACTTGGGTAGAAAGTCCTTTTCTGGGGTTACTTCCCCTTCTTCTTTTAAGCCACTAGGGCCCGCTTTAGAGTCCGGACTTTTTCGCACAAGATATTGATGTGGCCTTACCTCTCGTTCCTTTTCACTTCCCTAAAGGTTTTCACAAAAATTGTCGTGTACAGGTTTCCAAAACGGCTTTCAATAGCTGTGTGGGTTTTATTTTCATCCCTGAAGGTTTGCACTTCAGCCCCTTTTCCAGTTTCCTTTATTTTGTATGGCAACTTCTTCAATTTTCTCTCTCGGGTCCTCTAACCAGTTTCCCCAGGTCTGGCCCTTGCTCTTGGTTGTCTATCACTTCAGTGGTTGTTCTTCATTGTCCTCCCCTCCACCCTTTCCAACCCCCCCACTAACCCCAACCCCAAGGACTTTCCCAAATGCCACAATGGTTTTCCTCAACTGGCATAATCCTCTCGGGTTTTAGCCTAAAACCTTTTCAAAACCCCCCTTTTTGTCTACACTTCGGGCCACATTTCTTCCAAGCAGAGTTCAAGGCCCTCTTTAGTCACTTCCCCCCAAGCCTTCCCTTAAAAGGGTTTACAAAATTTGAGGATTTTAAAATGATCCCCAAAAAACTCTTTGAGTCATTTTTAGTTTGGGGTCATTACAAAGCCCCTTTTTAAAACAGAGCTTTTGTTACAGTTTTTGAAGTTGGAATAACCTGCGGTCCAGGGCGCGGGAAGGATGGTATTAGGAGGCAAAAACTTCCCCTTTAATGAAGCTCTTTTCCCCCTAAATCGCTCTGCCACTCTTTTGGGAGCCCAGGGGCTTGTCTAACACCAAGGCACAAAGTTCTAATTTTTTTCGTTAGGTAATCTTTCCATTGGGGGAAAATTTTGCGGGTGAACCAGTTTAAAAAAATTCCCTAGTGCCCCCATGCCTTACTGTTTCCCCTCCACAGCACACACAAATTATCCTTGGGGGACTTCTTTGCCGAACGCTCTGGGATTTTCGAGTGATACAAAATTTAAAGGCTTCATTTGCAATCCCCTGCTTGGGCACACATGAGAAAGAAACCCCTTTTTTTTCATAGGTTTATGCCCGGGAGTCCCTTTTCCTCCTGAAAATGTAGCCCTGCTTGGCATTTTTTTTCCAAACAGGCCTTTATACAATAAACACTTGTTCAGGTTTCAGTCCTTCAGTTTCTATTACTCCTTGTTTCCCCTGCACATATTTTTCAGCCTTTTTGTGGTCCGAACTGGCGCCTCACCATGCCTTATCACACTTGGGCACTACGCTTCTTAAATCTCTCAACCAACCTTTGCTGGTTTTAAAATTCATCACATCATCACTGTTGCAGGCTTTTTTTTAATTAAATGTCATGCAACTTCCTCCCCTTTTCACATATGATCGTTTGAGGCGCTATCTCCTGCTAGCTTTTTTTTTCATTTATCCACCCCAAATGAGCCCCTTAACATTTTCCCACCACTTCGATCTTTTTTTCGAAAAAACATTTTTTCCTTGGCAAGAACAGCTTCCCCTTTAAATTTTTCTTTTTTGGGGCCCCCCAAAAAGTCGTGGTTTATTGGGGTTTTTTTTTTCTTGTACAACTTGACTAGGGGCATACGCCCCCTTTTTATATTACAAAAGTTTTCTTTTTCATTTAATTGGGGATTCTTACCCCCTTTTTGGGGTACGGTTGGCACTAGAACTTTTCTTGGGGCCCCTGGTCACTTTTTTTCCAAAAAAGAACGAAAAACGTAATAAAAAACGAAATATTCCCGGGTTGCTTGGGGTAGCGCGGAGGCTGGTGGTAAAAATGGAAAAGGGGGGCACATGGAGGCTGGCTGAGGGCCACTTGGACGGTCTCGGACGAAAATCAGTGAGCGGGTTTTTTTTCGGTAGCCCGGCAAAAAATTTTTTCGATAAAATAGCGGTATGGAAATAATGCTATGTGATGCCATCGTTATGCGGGGGGTCCACTGTATATATATATATAGTGTAATAAACATATCAAAGCCCCAATCTAAATGGGTTACAAAAAATCTAAAAACAAATCAAAATTTTTTGAAGTGATAGCTTCTACAAAGCACATTTGCCTTTGTTAAACATTTTAAGGATATTGTGCTAAACTGGTATTGTGATATTGTGCAGGATGAAGGTCTAATTGGTGTGGAGCAGCCATCAGGACCAGATGATCCCACAGCTACAAACGGGGGTGTCACCACGTTCCAAGCTATTCACCGAATACCATCAGAATCTTTACAACCTGGAACTCTTATTTCTCAGAGTGCTGTAAGTATACCATTTACATTTACTTGTTAGGTTCTTGGCCATTATCTTTCCATTATTGTCAAGAGTGAGGAACTGCACTCACACGTTGATAAATTAGCCACACAGACACCATATGAAAAACACCTGACATCTCTCAGCAAGGAGTGCCAGGTAGCTCTTAAAAATTCACTGTAGATTCAGAGCAGGCAGAATTCACTTTCAGCATCTTCAGTGCCTTGAAGTATTCACTGTCTTCTTTGCCAAAAGTCCCACCAATAAGGCAGACTATGATTTAAAAAAAAAAAAATGGCCTATTGCATCAATTATGGTACATTACTTTTAGACTTCACTACCCTCAACTCCACTAGCCGCTACCTTTAAAACTTAAGCAACCCTTAAGCTGTATGGCCCCTTCGGTTTAGCTCTTAATTTGATGATGATGATGATAATTATGTCCCATATAGGTTTGGAGCTTGTTTTCAGAAATAGTAATAATGCTTGTTGCAGCATTAACTATAGTAGTATATTGATCTAATGCCGGCCATACATTGACTTCATATATGTACTCTCACATTCTGAAATATATAGTAAACTATTATCATTATTTATCATACAGTATTCACAGAAGTGCTAAATCCATATGGGTCATGTAGTGCTACAGTATCCTGAATTTCAGATTTATATTGCAGGTGTCAGCTGGTGCAGGAACCCAAGGTGGTGAAAATAGCGTTAATGGCTACAGTTCATATGTCATTACAATTGATGGGATATCTACAGTTTTTTCCAACCCTGTTCGTCTAACTAGTAATACAGTTGCTACAGAAGCTGGAGACCCACTTCCTGCAACAGTGCAAGTTATAACAGGAGATCTCATCACTTCACAAGGCTCTAAAGTCTCAACTGCTCATCAGACCTACGACCTTAATGAAGATGACAAATCGTCCGCTACTCAGCATGGATTTGAAATAACACAAGACAAAGTCAGTCAAACACAGCAACTATATGACCTAACTTCTGGAGAAAAGGTGGAGCCAAATCAGACAAATTTCAGTCATTCACAAGACCAAGTACATGCAAGTTCAAGTAGGGAATACATGGGACACTCAAACTCCCAAGATGTACAGCCAAATGTACTTGTGGAGCAACAAGGAATGGAGGATAATATGGATAATTCTATTCATGTACATAATCTTTCTGCCAAACCTAAAACTGAATAGTTATAATTACATTGTCCCTTCAAGGGAGGTGCCTTGATGCTGGTGAGGGGCTCTTGATCCAAGAAAATGGATTTATTCTCATTTGAATCAAATTAGAATGCCTCTCATTTCCCAGGTGCTACACGATACATTATAAATGGTATACAATGCCATGAAATTGATGAATAAGACATGTGCAACACTAAGTTACATTTATCGATGAGACATTGTTGTCTGCTTGGCAGGCTTCATTGGTTGAATAAAGGCAATTGCAATTGTAGGGACTGTAGAGTATAGTAATAGTTTGAGGTGATCATTCCCTGAGCCTTGATAAGAGACTTCTTCCATCAAGGCTGCAGGACATATCACCTCAAACTGCTTCTCCACTTTTACTATCTCCAGGATTGCAATTACTTTTATCAACTGCTGAAGCCTACCAAGCAGGAGAAACATTTCATCAATAAAAATGCTGTAGTGTTGCATTTGCCTCGCTCTGCTAGATGACCCCCTACAAATTCAGCGCTTCCCAATTACACAAATATAAAAATGTAATTGTCATTTCATAAATAACCTGCACTTAGGAGATGAGACATGTGATGTTTCAGTCCATCCTTGCCTATAGTCAAATAACAACTAAGAAAATGAGCAGTAGAGATCAAAAGATAGGTCAGGAGGAGGGAAGGGAAGGGCAGTGGTGGTGGTAGTAGTAGTACAAAGAATAAAGGAGCATTGGGCAGGACTAGTGGTAAAGTAATAAATAAATTACATCTTGAGACAGTAGATGCACTGTATGACTTGTGGGTTTAGCACTTAGTTTTGATTATAATAATAATTGAGACACAGCACCCGCCCAGGGAGGTACTACCGTCCTACCAAGTGAGTGTAAAACGGAAACCTGTAATTGTTTTACATGATGGTACGATTGCTGGTGTCTTTTGTCTGTCTCATAAATATGCAAGATTACAGGTACATCTTGCTACTTCTACTTGCACTTAGGTCACACTACACATACTTGTACAAGCATATATATACACACCCCTCTGGGTTTTCTTCTATTTTCTTTCTAGTTCTTGTTTATTTCCTCGTATCTCCAGGGGGAAGTGAAACAGAATTCTTCCTCTGTAAGCCATGCATGTTGTAAGAGGCGACTAAAATGCCGGGAGCAAGGGGCTAGTAACCCTTTCTCCTGTATAAATTACTAAATTTAAAGAGAAACTTTCGTTTTTCTTTTTGGGCCACCCTGCCTTGGTGGGATACAGCTGGTTTGTTTAAAAAAAAAAAATAATTGAGACAGTAGAGATCAAAGTAACTCAATATAGACATTTGTCCACAAGGGGTGGAGGAACACTGCAGTAGGCCTGCTAGTCCATGCTGGGAAAGAAAAGGAAGCAGAGAAGGGGAAATTCAGAAGATAGAAAAGGCAAAGGAAATCTGGACAGGTGAAAAGGAAGCAAAGGTCATGTCACAAGTGCTCTGGTGATTAGAGCATTTCACAATGCACTGAGAGAGGCAGGCATCTACAGAAACAAAGCCAGAACTAAGATTCTTGTTCTGAATGTTGTGTAAAAGAACTGATTCAAAAAGACTGGCCTCCCCAGACAAGAAGGATAGTTTTAGCAGAGGACCAGTTAATAGGATGGCTGTGATCTGTCATCACAGCAACAAACGAACACTAAACAAGACGAACACTAAAGTTGTACTTTTTTAAGCCTCTCAAGCAGAGTATTCAATTTCACCAGAGTATTGGAGAGGACAAGAGGAGCAGGAAATGGAGTAGATACCAAAGCATTGGTGTTATGAGAAGTGTTCACATCACCACTACTAACACGTCTCTTATCCATCATGTCAAGAGTTCATGGCTATTTTGTTAATTGGTCTATTGCTAAAACTTATTATTCTAGACTTAGCAGATGCCTTCTTGTTGAATCAGCTATAATGCACATTGCTAGCATGAAACTTAGTCTTGGCTTTGTTTCTGTAGATGCCTGCCTTTCTTAATACATACATCATCGTGACTTGACTTTACCTTTGCTTCTTTGATTTCCGTTCTTCTTGACCTGTTATTTGTATTTGCTTTTCCTGTCTTTAGACTTTTCATTTTCTTCCTTCCTTTTCTTTCCAAACATTGGCCACTTGGCTTACTGCAGTGCTCCTTTGCCCCCTTGAACACAGGTGTTAGTGTTGAGATGCTTTCATCATCACTGCCTTGATGTAATTTACTCTCCTTACTCTATCATTAGTCCTACCCAGTGTGGGCCAATAGGTCTCCTGCAATAGGTCTTCTTTTCTTCTTTGGTATTAGGACTATTATTGCTACCATAATTTTTTCATTACTACTACACACACTACTACCCTTTGACCTGTTTTATGGTATCCTCTGCTTTTTCTTCTTGGTTTTGACAGTGGGTGTGTGGCGTTGAATCATTCTGGGATGCAGATACAAAACTGCCTGAAGTTTATGATAAACACCTGAAATTAGCAGATTATTCCTAAAGCAAATAACCTGTAATTATAAGTATTTCACAAATACAAAGTGTAAACTCTCGACATTAACACAAACAACACACACACACACACACGCACACACACGCACGCACACGCACGCACGCACGCACACGCACGCACACGCACGCACACACACACACACACACACACACACACACACACACACTTTGTATATATTCTGATGTGTGTGTGTGTGTAATATATATATATATATGTATATATATATATATGTATATATATATATATGTATATATATATATATGTATATATATATATATGTATATATATATATATGTATATATATATATATTATATATATATATATATATATATATATATATATATATATATATATATATTATATATATATTTATTTGATGTATGCACTGAGAGCAACAGTATACAACATACGCAGGAGGGTCCTGCTTCTAGAGCAGGTTAGGTTTCGGGCTACTGCTGTAAAGTGAAAATCGTTGTAGAGATTGTAGCCTTTTTTCACTTTCAAATGCACATAAAAGCCTGATAATATATTTACACTATCATTCAGCACACATTCACCCTGAGAGGTGTACATATACAGTACTAAAAATTTACTTAAATCCCTATTTTAGGGATTAAAGTATTCTTGACTGGGGGCAAACAGGTTGCATGCAGCCTTAATGACCCATTGAGTAGGTGATTGACAGACATTAAACCCAATTAATCAACCAGTCGGTAAATAAGTCTTATAGCCGGTTATGCATAGTCACTGCAATATCAAGGTAACTCAAAAACAAAAAAAGTTACATCTAGGTATATTTCTACTACTTGTAGATGATTGTTGGGGAGGATCTGCTCCAGAAGCAGAAACATACAAATAGGTCAGAAGAAGTTGCTTGTGTTCATATTTTAATAAATTGAACTGATTCTTGTGGTATGAGCAGGGGGTCTGCCACTATACAATTTTCATGCAGCAGTACAGTATATTCCAACATCTTGCATATATTAAACCAATAAAGTTTACATGCATATGTGTATTTGCTCAAGAGATTACAAAGAAACTTGTTTAGTAATTCTTTCTCAAAATTGATATCTTTTTTCATTTTGCAAAATCTGAGGCAATTTGCCTGAATTCTGTCTCCATCCCATATGCTTATTGTTGTGACCTGACAGTGGTCCACAGTGAACCAAAATGTAGTGAATTTCCTCTCTTAAGTGCAAGTTATTTGTTAATTGTTCCAGCCCTAGAAATGTGATTTATATTTTTCATCCAATTTCCTTAATAATCCTAAGAAATACAGCTAATGTAAATAGTTTGGCTAAACATCCCAGTTGTGGTGTCGTTCACGATCAAATTACTGGATTTAAGGATTTTATCTTTTTAACATTAAAAATGTAAATAGTATAAATTTCTAGTGATAATGAAACCTGCTTTCAAGTTAGGTTTTGCTTAATGTCATAAGTTTCTATATTTATATAAAAAATCTGTGCCTCTTGATAGACAAGCGCACTTGCTCTTGAATATAACAATGATGATAATATAGAAATTGGTTGTGATATATTTGATAGAAAGTGAAGAAAAGATTCCAAAAATATAAGTAGACTATTTGGTAAAGTTAAATTTGTTATAAATATATTTTTAATAAGTTATTAGAATTTATTTTTTATTGATGATCCATGGAAACAATATGGGGAAAGTAAATGGGGCAACCCTTTCTTTCATTTGTTTTTTTGCTTCACTGTAATACCATTTAATGGCCTGCTTTATTTTCTCTACATCAACATTGCAATAAATAATGTTGCTGTTTAGTCTTTTTTTTTATTTCCTCCTTTATTGGTGCTTTTTCACATTTCTTTACTGTCCACATGAAAACACTACTGCCCTTAGTAACCTATCAAGTATTCCATGAACTTGTAACATTTGCCAGGCTACTCTGTCAGACTTTCTAAAACCACAAATGCAACAAGCAGCATTTTACCTTTATCAAAGTACTTCACTATACTGTAGTAATCCCTTGCAAGTGTGACTTGAAAATAAAAGGCTCTTATTCCATGGATCAAACCCAATTACTTTCCATTCCTCAGGCACAATAATCCCTATGGGTTTAGCACTTCCCCGCTGTATAGCCCTTGTGGCTTAGCGCTTCTTTTTGATGATAATAATAATTAGCACTTCCCCAAAAATATATTCATGGGAAAGTATTTATCCCAAATGGCTCATGCAGTGCCTGAGGAATAAAAGGATCTAGGCTTGATCCAAGGGAGTGCAATTCCAGTTCAGGTTCACCAGCATCAAGGCAACCCTCCCTTGAAGGGACCAGAACTAATGGAGAGGTACAACACCCAAGTTGCCGCAGTGCCATGCAACAGTCGAGGGACTAAAAAGGATTCGTACTCTGGTACCTGCTTAACTCAAGCCAAATATGATACCTCACCACAAATTGCTGGTAGGCTAAGCACTACCACACATCCCCGAACTGTTGGTACCCACAATCCATACATAAACATGCTCGGGCAGCAAATACATAAGTAGGCCAGCACAGGATCCACCACCCTTCCCAAAGGAGGTACCTTCATGATGGTATCTACATGGAAGGAATTGAACCTGTCCTCTTTCTTGGACTGAACTTGATTGCCTACCATTTTCCCAAGCACTGCATGACCCCTTCAGTTTTAAAACTTTCTCCTAAATACTGTATAACAGTTTACCAGTACCCAGCCACCCACGTGCCACAAGTGTTGCTCACTACAGTGCCACAGCTTTAGTGGCGTGGGAAGGAAATGATGGTAACAAGTGTGTGGTGTGGGGAGGTTGTGAAAGTAACAAGTGTGTGGTGTGGGGAGGTTGTGGTGATGGTAACAAATGTATGGTGTGGGGGAGGTTGTAGTGATGGTAACAAGTGTGTGTGGTGTGGGGAGGTTGTAGTGATGGTAACAAGTGTGGTGTGGGGAGGTTATGGTGATGGTAACCAGTGTATGGTGTGGGGAGGTTGTAGTGAAGGGTAACTGAATGTGCAAGCTGTAGTAGAGAGAGATGTGGAAGAGGTGGTGTGCACCTTGGCATGTGGACACTAAGGATACAATTTTAGACCAATTGCTATCAAACATGAATATGCACAAAATATCAATGTATATAGTCAAAAATTTAAGAGAAAAAGATGTTTTTAATTTAGTTATATGAACATTGTAATTAATTCTTTTATACACAGTTTTTGACTAATCTCTACCAAACAAATACAAGCCTTCACCATACATACAATGAACATGCACAAAAAAATCAATGCATTTAGTGAAAAAAAATAGTCAAACGACTTGTATGAATGTTTGCACTTATGAAAAAGTATCTGGAAACTTGTGCTTGTAACAAAGTAACTGGTTCTAAAGTGCCTGTAGGAGCCATACAGCCTGGGGAATGGGAGGCAATAAGGTATGATCCAAGGAAAGAGAGGACTGGTACAATTCCTTGGCTCATAAACCCTTCACCTGCAACAGGGAACCTCCAGTGAGAGGCAGATTTCCATCACTCTAAGTTCATATCGGGAACCTTTTTATATGCCAGTCTATGTGAATAGTATATACACAGAGCCCGTGCTACCCACAGCATCAATGAAGTCATCAGTCTCCCCCTCATGGTTATTAGACCCTAGAGCTAAGGGACACTACCTGCTGAAGGACAAGAGAACCAAGCATGGGATGATATGAACTGGGTACCGTGCCTGCTACCTCAGGGAGATCCTTGTACTAGACCCATATACAGTTAGAATGTTTGCTTGAGCTGGTGCACAGACCCTCTTCCACAATACAGCCTCAACACCCGCCCAACCATCCAACATGGGCAGCCCCTCTTGA